CACAGCCTGGGCAGTGAAAGTGCCGAGTCCTAACCACTGGACCGCCAGGGAATCCCCATATTCCTTTCTTAATCCTTAATCAAGATGACTCACTACTTGCCTTGTACATGCAGATCTGGACTATGTAAACTGTCAATACATCATTTGATATATAACTCTTTGTCTTCAAAATGTATATAACTGTGTATTCTCTTTTATTTATTTATTTTTTAAGTACAAACATCCCAGCAACAGCACATGGTGAGCTGTTGCTAAGGGCATAGGTCTTTATTGGAGGAGGGGTACAGGCAGGGCATGAGGAAGGTTCCCCCATTCTAAGAGGATGGGAACAGTCCTGGCTGCCCCACAGTGGGTTATGTGGTGGGGGGGGGGGGTCTCTGGCCAGGCCACAGTCCACATGGGAAGACACCAATCAGTCCCAAAGTCATGGGAATGCCACACAAGCCTGGCTGTGGGCCCAGGCACTACACAGGAGCCCAAGGCAGGTCCCCTGGGCTAAACTATACAGGATGTTAAACTATACAGGATGAGGCTGTACATGAGTTAATTACAAAAGAGCTATACTTACAAAAATCTGTACACACATTTGAAAAACTCACAAAATTGTCATCTATGTATCACAAGTTGCTAAATGAAAATAACTTAAAATGGAATAAAATTATACATTTCTTTTCTCAATTCTTTTCAAAAGGATTAATATTTTTAAAGCACATATACTACTTTCCTTAGCAAATTCCACAAAGAGACTGAGCAGCCCAGCCCTCCTTGAGCCCCAGAGGACTTGAGCTATGAATGGGCCTGGCCAGGGGACACGGCCCAGAGTCAGGGAAGGGGAGTCAAGCCCACAGTACAGAGCAGAATGCTGAAACACAAAAAAGGAGGAAGTTGTCTCTGGCTACAACTCTGGCATTAAATAAAAGAGGCAAACAGGATGGAAACATGCAGCCCTGTCAGCCAGGTTGGGGCAGAGTAGGGGAACAGGCGGCCTTGAAGCCTGGCTCCAAGAAAGGTGGGAAGCAGGCCTGGGCACATACCTTGATGGGAGAAAGTTGTGTTTCAACCAGTTGGGTGTGCCTACTGGGCCTGGCAGGGAGCGCATGCATGAAAGAAACAGGGAAGGGCAGGTGGGCCACCTTGGCCACAGCCAGCTCATCCAGTAACTAAAGTGGATGTAGTACAAAAGTTGCAGCCAAGTACTATGGACATGCTACCTGCTTGCCTTAAGGGTCATGTGGCAATGTTGGGCCAAAGGCAGGACCCTGTCCTTGTCCTGGGTGCCTGGGTCCTCAGCCACAGAAAGAGCCTCAAGTTTTCCCAATGTGTGTGGGTCAGGGGAGACAGAACACTCTCCCCTTACATGTTAGCCGAGAGCTCCTGGGTCCAGGTATCAAGGCTCAGAGTTTGTGCTTCTCTTTGTAGTCTGTGCCCCCTGTTGGCACCAGCAGGCTAAGAATGGACAGAGGAATATCTGGGCCTCTCACCCCATGGCAGAGCACCCAGCCTGAGCTCAAAATATCACAACAGCCCTTCCACACTGACAAGGTGTCCAAGAAAACCCACAGGGTGGCCTGCCGAATAGGATGCGATGCACAGTTCCATGGGGCAGAGGGGCATGGGTGGTGATGATCCTAGTGGAGCTCCGTGGCCCTCAGGTCTGCATCAGGCCTGGGAGGGCCATAAATGATCACCGAGGCAATGTGGTTGTTCTGCATGACCTCAAAGATCATCCGCTGAAGACCAAAGCAGAATGTGGAGCCAAATGTGTTGGTGTTGTCTGGGGAGCAGGACCTGTGCAGAGCAACAGGCCTCTCCACAGGATGGCCCAGAAGCTCTTGGATGTTGTCCCCCTTGCTGTAGGTCATGCACGTTTCTGTCTGACCATCTGTGTTTTCTCTCTTTACAGTTAGTGGATTCTTGAACTCACAGTGGTGATAAATGTTAAAATTATAATGTCCAGGGTAATTGGTGTATAGGACAAAGTTCTTCACTTTGAGTGTATTCGCGTCAAAGAGGATGTCCACTCCAAGAGTGAAGTAGTTAAAAAAGTAGTCATCGCACTTGGATGGAACTTGCTTATCAGGAGAAGGAGAATAAATCTTCATTTTGTCTTCTGACTTGTAGAAGACCTTGTGTGGAGAGGTAAGCATGCTAAGAACATCTTGGCAGGAACTGCCAAAATACACTAAGAATTCAAATACCCACATCTTGGCATCTGTTAATAGGCTGGGTCCGCAACCTGCGGCAAGTAGGCGAAGTCATAAACCTGAGGGTCCAGTTCCATCTCAAAGAACATCTATACTCTCAGCACACACATTGCCCAGGAAACAGCTCGGGGCATCATGGGAACCTTGGTATCCTGTAGGCTGTTTCCACTGTAGATGTGCATTCGTTTCACGATTGCTTCGTGTGTTGTCTGGAGAGAAGCCAGACCATGGGCAAAACTGGGTTCGCACTTGGGAGCCTCGATCCATGAATCTAGCTGAAAAGAGAAAAAGACAGTCCTCTGAAGTTGAGGTGGAAGAGCTGCTCAGTGGAGTTGTACACTCCAGGATGGGTTGCATCGAAAGACTGGTCAATCTGCTCAATGGTGGGAGCTATGGCTTGAGAATTGAAATGCACACCACAATATTTTAACTTTACTTTAGTCAAGTCATATATTTCGATCACCTTAAGTCTCTGATAGTTTCATCCCATCCTGAGCCAGGTTAAAGATGAGGTGATGGCTTAGAGGAGACCAGTGCACCTTCCCATTGCTTGTTTCCCAGAGAACACTGAGGCACCACCTCCACGCCCAGCATTGGTTTGGTTCGCTGATCCGGCGGCCTCCCTGCCGCAGCGCAGACAGACCGGAGCTCACCTGACTGGCAGCAGCCTCGGGAGGCCCTGTGCATTAACTTCTAATGGGCAGAAAAGTCCTCAGAGCTTTCTGAAAGATTGTCTCCCGGGCTATAATCCTCAGGTTGGCTCAAATAAAATTCTCTATTGCTTTCTTAGATTGACTATTAATCAAATTTTTCGTGGACAATATAATGTCCAGAATAGACAAATCTATAGAGACAGAAGATTAGTGGGTTGTGGCGGGGGGTGGAATGGGGAATAGGAAGTGACTTCTAATTGGTAAGGGTTTCATTTTTTCGGCGGTGAACGTTCTAACATTGATTATAGAGATGGTTGCACATCTCTGTGATTACACTAAAAAAAAAACACTGGGGCTTCCCTGGTGGCGCAGTGGTAGAGAGTCCGCCTCCCGATGTAGGGGACACGGGTTCGTGCCCCGGTTCGGGAAGATCCCACATGCCGCGCAGCGGCTGGGCCGGTGAGCCATGGCCGCTGAGCCTGCGCGTCCGGAGCCTGTGCTCCGCAACGGGAGAGACCACAACAGTGAGAGGCCCGTGTACTGAAAAAACAAAACAAAAACACTGAACTGTGCATTCTATCTTTATACATTTTTTCCTTTTTTTTTTTTTTTTTTTTTGGCTGCCAGCCTGGGGTATTTCAATTCCGCGACCAGGGGTTAACCCCAGGCTGTGGTAATGAAAGCCCGAATCCTAACCATTAGGCAACCAGGGAACTCCCAAACTGTACATTTTAAATGGAAGAAATGTATGTTATGTGAATTACATCTCAAAACGTTGTTTAAAAATACTATCCACTATTAACATTTGTCTTATTCATCCCCAAAAGACTAATATTTGATATCTTTGAATAAAATCCCAAGAATGTGCACCAGATTCTAAAGACAATTCTAAAAATGGTTATCCAAAAGTATCGAAGTCTAAAGGAACTAGTCCAAAGAAAACACCACATTTTGGGGCATGTACATTTCCCAATGTTTAAAAACTTTTACATAACTTATGAAATGCAATACAAAACACATAATGAGTATACTGAAGTACATTTCAGAGCCCTAATTTTTCTGCTTCCCTGGAAGAGGGCTGAAATTTGTATATATTCTGAGTCAGTTGGTTTTAGAATTCTTGGGACCTATTTGCATTAAAGAACTATTTCTTAAATATTTTTCAGTATACATTGAATATACCAAGGAAATTCAAATATAAAGAAAAATTCCACTAAGATCTAGAAATACATTCCAGGCTCTCAAAAATTTGGTTAATACCAAGAAGACATTCTTTTTTTTTTTAACATCTTTATTGGAGTATAATTGCTTTACAATGGTGTGTACTTTCTGCTTTATAATAAAGTGAATCAGCTATACATATACATATATCTCTTCCCTCTTGCTTCTCCCTCCCTCCCGCCCTCCCTATCCCACCCCTCTAGGTGGTCACAAAAAAGCACCGAGCTGATCTCCCTGTGCTATTAGGCTGCTTCCCACTAGCTATCGGTTTTACATTTGGTAGTGTATATATGAAGAAGACAAATTCTTAATGAAACTTTTTGTTTTTTGGCCGCGCTGTGTGGCTTGCGGGTTTTATTTCCCTGATCAGGGATGAAACCCAAGCCCCCTGCAGTGGAAGCGCCGAGTCCCGCCACTGCACCTCCAGGGAAGTCCCTTGAAACTCTTTTAAGCTAAAAATAAAAATTTTTTTAATGAGATTTTTTCCGTACAGAAAAAGCAGGAACATCTATTCAACTGTATCGGAATGAGAGAAAAGAAATCATTTCTTATATGAAAAGTAACAGATTATATGGACTCTCAATAAACTTTTATTTTTGAATAAATAAACAAATCTTCCGGGAATACACGTTTGCTTGTACGTCAACCTAAAGCATTTCAGCGAGATCAAATATCGTGAGCGCCGCTGGTGTAGTGGTATCATGCAAGATTCCCATTCTTGCGACCCGGGTTCGATTCCCGGGCGGCGCATCTAACTTTTGTCCTTGCCTTAAATAATTTTTATAATCTTTCTTCTTCTGGAAACACAATTTTTCATTTCCATGAAGATTTATATTTCACTATAAATTACTGTTGACACATTCGAATCTGGAGTGGAATTCAAAAGAGTTTCCTCAAGTCATGAACTAGTTAACCTTTACGCCTGCGCAGTCTGAGACATCCCCGAGCGTCGCTGGAAGAGCGGCTGCGCAACGAGTGAATATAAGGACTGAGGTGCAGCCTGGCGGCCAGGAGGTTGAAAGTGCAAGATTCTTCTGCGCCTGCGCGGCCCGGGTCACTTCGCTGGCCGCTTCAAGGCTCCCGGCTCGCCGCCATCTTGTGTTGGGGCTTCATTGTTCGCGCTGGGCCGGGTGGTTTAGTGTAATTGCCGCCGAAGGAGGGGGCGGAGTAACCTCCGGTCGGCCGAGAAACCCAGCTATTTCACAGACATAGCAGCTCAAAAGATTTGTGAGGTAGTAAAGGGTAGAGAGCTGGACCCGGAGGCGCCGCCGCGACAGCAGCAGCCATGGAGGACGAAATGCCTAAGACTCTGTGAGTCTGGGGCAGCGATGAGGGGGGCGGGATGGTGTTGGTCCCGGAGCGAAGCTTCGGCTCTGCGCCGCTCCCCAGCCTATTGTTCCCCGCGGACGCCGCGATATCATGGTTCCTCTCCCTAGCGCTCACCGGGATGCCTAGGGACCGAGACCCGGGCTGTGAGGGGACGAGATGGACGGAGACGGGGCTCAGCCCTCTAAATTAGTCCCAGCCGCGTAACTACCCCACAGCGTCGCGTTTGGCTTCGTCCCGGGCGCTCTGTGGTCTTAGGCGTGGAGAAAAGATTTTCATTCAAACCTGTTTTTAGAACTCGGCTAGCCTTTTTGTTCTACGCTTTTCTTCTCTCCCCCCATCCCCCTCCCCCGCGTCTCGATTAACCTCTTGATTTTTACAGCCGTCTCCCTTTCATTTTACTTTGATTTTCTCTAGAAACTCTTCCTTTCAGTGTATTTCGTTGATAAGAATTTTTGTCTTGAAAATGCTTATACTGATTTTCAGGGACTTAAACTTTATTCTCGCAGTTGCCAACTGGAAAAACGCCAAATGTTTTTTCTTGAACTTCTCTGTGGCTTTCCTTCCGTGGCACCCCCTCCCCTGATCAAAAAGCCCCAAATCGGACCCCTTAAGGATCTTGAAACTGCTTTTTAAAAATGGAACTCTCCCCCGGAGGTATATATTAACTGAGGGGAAGTGAATATAATGCATTTTTATCGTCGCTTGCTACTTTTCTGATTGACATGTCGTTGAAGCAGCGGGGAGTTTTTAATGAAGCAACAATTGATAAGTACCTTAACATATTTAGTCACCTCTGAGAATTTTTAGACTTAGTGTTAAGTGATCTTAGTTTGGGATCTTTTCTTTGTCGTGTTGCTCTCCCCGCCCCCTCTCCTTTGTTTTTTTCGAAATATTATCCGCTGAGGTGACCCTGCCTTTGTTGCTTTTCTCGAAAAGAAGAAAAAGCCCGATGAGTTTTTGACGTAGCTTTTTTGTTTTTATTCTTAGAATACTGGCAGTTTGAGAACTCAAGGCAATAAAAATACGCTCAGGTTTCTTTTTGCAACTCTCTGGATATCACAGTTGTTATGAAGTACAACGTAATCAATTATTTTTTTCGCCAACAAAATAGTTTACGTTTTGTAATCTATATGAGAAATATAGTTACACTTGTTTTCTTAATGAATAGGTAAACTTTTTTGATAGTTTGTCTCATAAATCTGTTAGTTACGTTATGTGTCTTTTTAATAGGATGCAGCAATTAGCCCATGACTTTTGTCTTTTGAAAGATTATATCTGTAGATGAATACTCCCTAAAACATCATTAGCCCCATAGAGTTTATGGAAACCTTTTTTCCCTCTTGCCTCTTCGCTGGAAGTATGATAGCCAGCAGCATATTGGATTAAGAACGGCTCATCTTTTATAATGTCTTTAAGAATCTTATTTTGAAGTTTTTAATTTCAGAAACTGCCAAAAATAATCTGAGAATTTAACCTATTTAGTACGTTGATTTGGGAATATCAAATAATGAAGACAACTTAAGCTTTCCTAGGCCAGTCTACAAAAGCAAGCAGTACTAGCTTGGGGACAGGGGACCAACCATTGCAGGAGAATTAATGAAGTTTTATTTATTATTTAATTTATTATTTATTTATTGAATACTTATCGTTTGCCATGTGTTCTCTGTTAAGTGCTTTGTGAGCTTGTGTAATCCTCATCAGAATTCTGCAGTAAATGGGTCCATTTTACAGCTGAGGAAAAGCTAAGCTTAGAATTAAAGTAACTCATCCCAAGTCATATACCCTTTTGTTCATCATCCTGCAACTCTACTGTCCTCAACTCTTGACACTTACATTTATGACTAATTTTGCCTTGTATGCTTTACTAGAACACCCCATCCAAGAATCTTTTCCCCAAAGTAGTCCATGCTTTAACATTTCCTATTATCCCCTCCCTCGCTTCTGCCTTTCTCAACCAAAACTCCCATTCTTCCAGTCAGACCAATCTTGATTAAATATGAGTAGGTGCTCATCCCTGATTTTTCCCAGCAGTGTTTTTTTATTTTTAATATAAAATGTTTGTTTGAATAACCTTGGGAGTCAGAGGCTTTTAATATGTTCTTAGCAATGTCTGGTCCATGGTAAGTGATCATTAAATTTGTTTTAAAAACTGGTACAGTTTCAAGCAGTGAATCAAGATTTTACTCATTCTTGAGGGTAAGATACAGTCTGAATTTCCGTATTGCCTGTGTACCTGAATGGCTCAGAGGAGGTGCCTTCCTTTGCCACAAACGAGTGTTCAGCAGTGCCTTGTTAGAGACTGTTCAATTTCTTGTCAGCACTACTCTGGAAATGTACAGTTGACCCTTGGGCAATGCAAGGGTTAGGAGCTCCAGCCCTCAAGCAGTCAAAAATCCATGTATAACTTTTACAGTCAGACCTCAGCTTCTGTGGATTCAACCAACTGTGGATCATGTAGTACATATTTAGTGAAAAAATTCCATGTGTATAAGTGGATCCACACAGTTCAAACACATGTTGTTCAAGGGTCAACCGTATTGTGAGAAGTGGTTTGATTCTGGAAATGTTTTGAAAACAGAGCTGTGGGAATTGCCAGTGGTTTGGATGTTGAATGTGAGAGTGAAGTCAGCAATAACTTTAATTTGCAAACGCGTAATTATCAGCCATCTAGAATGTTAGTTTGTTGTAAAATATAATTTAAAACGAGAACTGTCCTGAGAGCATGGATATCTTATTAATAAGTCTTCTGGGCATAGTGTTAGATACTTTTGTTCAGACTGGTTTATGTACAGTTGGCCCTCTGTATCCACTGAAGTGGAACCCTCAGATATGGTGGGCCAGTTGTAAGAAACGTGAGCATCCATGGGTTTTGGTAACCATGGGAGGGGGCAGGTCCAGGAAACAATCCCCTGGGAGTACCAAGAGATGGCTGGCTGCATATGGTCTGTTCTCCAAGTGAAGGAGGTGCTAGCTGATAAAATAAGAGGGTTTCAGCTATCACGCAACAGAGTGTCCTTTGTGAAGAGTAGACAGTTGTTAAATAATAGTAAGGTTATGATGCTGGTATATAGTATTTGTATTATGTACAACGAGCATTTACTGTCATACATAATTTCTTTTTTTAAATTGAATATAGTTGATGTACAATATTTTATAAGTTACAGGTGTACAGTATAGTGATTCACAATTCTTAAAGGTTATACTCCATTTATAGTTATTTTATAAATTATTGACTGTATTCCCTGTAACGTATAATATACTCTTGTCATAATTTCATAATTAGTAGGAGACATATACCTTTCCCCCCTGAACTAGAGGGACTCAGGCAGAATGGGTTAATTCCCTAGCAAATTGCAAATGTTCAAAAGTAATTCTGAGAGAGTACAGTTATCTCTTTGACAAATATTTATAGAGCACTTAAATATTCCAGGCAGGGTTCTAGATAGTAGATATATAGTATGAATGAAAAAAAAATCTCTGTTCTTATGAAATTTATCATTAGATTAAAACGTATTCATGTTTTTCACTCAGATTTTCAGAGACCTCATCAAAGTCTGCATTTTTATACGATTGTGGCTCATAACAAACCCAATACAGCATTCTGCCTTGTAAATTTTTCTTTGTAGCTTAAATTTTCTAGACCTGTACTAATCAAAATGAATATTTAAAATGTTTTGGATTCCAATGTTATAACTGTTTGAACTTAATATCAGCTTTAAAAGTATATATTAAATTGACATGAAATCCTATCCCAGAACTGTCAAGTTTTCACTAGCATTGATGACTTTTTCCATTGAATTTTCTCAGGAGCTTTTTTTTTTTTAGATTTATTTATTTTTACTGTACACAGGATCTTTGTTGTAGCATGTAGATTTCTTAGTTGCGGATGCACGTGGGATCTAGTTCCTCGACCAGGGATTGAACCTGGGGTGCCTGCACTGGGAGCATGGAGTCTTACCCACTGGACCACCAAGGAAGTCCCTCAGGAAGCTTTTTATTTTGAAAAATTTAAAACCTATGGAAAAGTAGCAAAAATAGTACGTTGTAGACTTTGATAACTTTCATGTGGCTTTACCAATTGCTAATAGTTAGCCAAATTTGCTGAACCATTTGAGAAGACATCATGACACTTAGGGGCTAAATACGTCTAAGAATAGGGGCATTCTCTTATGTAACGGCAATATAATTTTCATATTAAGGAGGCTACACTGAGTCAGCATTGTTAACTAATACACAGTTTATGCTCATATTTTATCCAGTTGCCCAAGGAGGATGTTTACTTTCCAGTTCTGCACAAGATTGGTACATGTTCTCAGAGGTGATATAATAAATATCAACATGGGATACTTCAGTCTATGCTGTTAACAGAAAGTTCATGGAACACATAGAAAGGGATATTTTAACGTTCTTGAATAAAAAGCATCTTGAAAAATTAAAACTACATAAATGTAAGAAATTTACATTTTTGTTTAGTAGTCCAGTTGACATTGTGACAGGGAATTTGGCTTACAACTGCTCCAGTATCAATTTTTGTATCACTCAGTATTTTCTTAAACGCAAGCTGCAAAAAAATTCAGGCATACAAGGAATTTGTTTAAAAAGATATTGGACACTCCCAGAATTTGCAGGAAGGTTATGGAACCTGGCTTAGAAAATGTTCAGGAAAGAGACAACTAACTGTCAGGCCTACAGTCCTAATCAAGCCACAGATCATCCCAGAAAGGATACTACTGCCACACCTACTGAGGACCTGATACTACAGCTTCCACTTTCACTGGGCATGGGACTTTGCGGCTGTTTGCCACCAAAGTGGATTCTCTTCAGTCTCTGCTTCTTTCACCCCTATCTTTGTCTTCTGTGTTCAGGACTGGTATCTGTAATTGCGCTAGCCCAGATCACATGCAAGGGAGACTATATAACCATATTTAGCCTTTTCATCTTCTGAAGAGGAGTCAGGCTTTGCCACAGAGTGAGGATTTCTCTAAAAACAGGAAGATATTTGGCAGCCTAAAAAAAAAATCTGTTACACAGGTAACTTAAATCCATGCTGTTAAGAGGAAATCCTTTCACTTCAGAAACAGAATAGTATGTGACAAAGTATGGGACAATTAAGAAACATTTTTATATAAAAATGGGAATGAACTACAAGTATATATGTTACTTGTAGTTTATTGTATTGGTGTCGAAGGTTGAGAGCAAGTTGTTGTGTAACTTCCTCTGAAGAGACTTTCTCGAACAGCTGTGTGTAGAGTTAATTGATAAAGCCTCCTGGAACATATAGTATACAGCAGGCCACATTAAATAAACAAATATAAAGGCAATACAGACCTTAGTGCTTTTTAAAGTATGTTTTATTATTATTATTAGCTATCTTCAAACTACATAAATCACTTAGAAAATATTTCTGAGAAAATCTTAAAGTTTTGCAAAGAGTAAATGATAGACTCCGGGTTCCCTAAATACTGTTCAGCTTGTCACTGGATTATCTACCTTTAGCAAAGCAGATGTTAGAATTAAATTTTCAGAAGAGCCATTTTTTTCATTTAGACATATGCAATCCTTAGGATTTCTTATAGGCACAAGAGTCGGGTAAGAATAGATACAGAAGAGTTGCAGAGATAGTACAGAGTTCTCGTTTGACTTTCACCCAGCTTCTCTTAATGTTAACATCTTATTTATATAACCATGATGTAATTATCACAACTAAGAAATTAACATTGGTACAGTACTGTTAACTACAAATTTTATTACCATTTCCCCATGCCACTAATGTCCTTTTTCTATTCCAGGATCTAATCCAAGATACCACACTGTGTTCAGTTGTCATGTCTCTATCCTGTAATATGTAAGGAGATATCTTTCATTACTGTGGCACTTTTGAAGGGTACTGTTTCTCCACTGTACAATGACTACTGTTTTTCTCGACATACTCTGTCAGTTAGAATTGAGTCACTAAGGTAGCCGACCCTCAAGTAGAGGGAAATTAAGCTTCACTTCAGAGAGGGAGGTGTATCAAAGAATTCTTGTCAGTAGCGATTATTACTAAGGTGTTTTAATGGTGATTTCTCTCATTTCTTCTACATTTATTAATTAGAATTATGTAAGAAAAAGCTCTTGCCCCCCCCCCACCTTAATCTAGAATTCAGTCAAGGATTATTCATTGTATTAGGTTGTCAGTCTTTTAAGTCCCTCTTAATCAAACACAGTCTTTTTTAGGACAATAATCTTTTGAAGATAATCAAATAAGTCGCCATATAATAATCAAATAAGTCGCCATAATACACATATATATATATGTGTAATTTGTGTAATTGTTTTATATGCCCAATATCCTGTAAACTTAGATCTAAATTTAAGCTTAGCTAGATTCAATTAGATCTTTCTGATTTGAATACTTCATAGATTGATATTATATAATTCATATAGTACATACAATGTCTCATTGTTTATCCATAAAATGATTTAAAGTTTGAACACTGGGTCAAAGTGGCCAAAAGCTCTCACTTTTAAGGTGGGTTTTCCCTTTGCAGTTGTTAAGTGATCTATGTGATAATTTAGGCACCCTGCAAATATCCATTTTCTTACCAACCTTTCACCTAATAGTTTTATATCCATTAATGGTTCATGCCTGAGTCAGTTTTTCAGTCAGGCTTACACATTGCTAATTTAATGCTCTCTGTCTACATTTACTGACTAGCATTTTTCTATAAAGGAACTGTTCATTGTTCCTTAAGACTCAGCACTTCTCCCTTTGCCATTTTAACCTATACCTGTGCCTTCACAGTAAGCATTCAATATTCTGTTGAATGGGTAAATGGAAGGAAGGAATTGAATCCACACTTTCTGGCATGTATAGATGTTTATCTTTGGGGGGAGAGAGTCCATACCTTTCATCACATTCCCTGAAGGATTCTTAGCAGAAGAATGAGAAACTACAGTTGTTGGGAGACAACATTCTCTGATTTCAGAAGTAATAAACCTCTAACTCTAACATGTCTGGAGGTAATCTCATTTTAAAATCCCCTTTTGAAAATTAATTTATAAACCCTTTAAATAAGGATCATCCCCCTTCCCCCAGAAAAAGTAAGGATCATCCCAGTCATGTGGTCTTATAATACATTATTTACACTAATTAAGTTTGTTAGCCACCACTTCATATTATCTGTTAAAAGTCTCTCCTAGACTCTTTCTACTCCCTTTCTACTATCACTGATCAGTGGAAGGTTTCCCATTGAAAGGTTTCCGATTCTTTTGTGAGCATGTACAACACCTGATAAGTGATTTATCCATGATTTTTCAAAAATATGTTTACTGTGTAAGCCAAAGTATACCTAAATTGGACAGTTTTAGGGAAATCATGTGAATTAAAAATTGAAGAAAATTAATGTTCTCAGTAATACTGTAGAAGTAGAAATAATTGCAAAGCTTTCCAGGATTGATTGTATAAAATGTTCTACATATTTAATGATTCATTTGAGTGATTTTAAGCATATCTTCCTAAGGTAAGCCTAGAAACTTAGAAACAAGCAACAGGTTTTATTTGTACAACCTTGAATAAAAACACACACACGCTAGCTTCCCCTCTACTAACAGTGTGTCATTAATATATTTGCAAGTAACGTATCTTCCATATGTTTTGAAAGAGATTTTGAAGTTTTCACAAACTTTTAAAAAGTTCCCAAATAGTAGATCCCAAAGATCTACCTATTCCCCATATTCACTCTCCAGTAATCAACTTTAGGAACTGATGCAAAAGAAGCAAATTTAAAATGATGAATTGTTTTTCTTTGTGTTTCAGATATGTCGGTAACCTTTCCCGAGATGTGACAGAAGCTTTAATTCTCCAGCTCTTTAGCCAGATTGGACCTTGTAAAAACTGCAAAATGATTATGGATGTAAGGGTATTTTACTTAGTTAACTTTCTTTTTTTTCTTTTCTCTGAGGTTGTCCATGATACATTATTTAAATCCATTACTTCCAGGAACTCTTAAATTGCTTTATACAGTCTGAATTCATAGGGGTTTTAGTAAATTTGTAATGAACCCGTTTTGGCCATGAAGTTTGTTTTAGTAAGTAAAGAAAGAAGAGAATGGTACTAATCATGCCTAAAGCAGGTGACAACTATATGTGGGCTCTTGTTTTAAAGTGTATTGAGGCATCAGAATTGTTTGTTTTATATGTGGTATCAGTTGATTGGCTAAACTAGAAATTCAGTTATTACAATTAAAATGGGAAATTGGGTAAAAAAAATAATAGACTTTGATACTGTGAAAGTGTTTTTAACTTAATTTTAAAGGTCATGATTCAAGTTTTTCTTGTATTGTGGCAGTGCCCATCCATCAGACCTTAATGTATAGAAAAAACATAGAATTCACTCATCTAATTGGTATTAATCCTGAGTCATAATGTGTGTTAAAAGGCACCTTAAAATTCTTTTGATGAGAAAAACAGTGCTAAAGAGAAATCCTTTTATCCCTGGTCTCACCTACCTTTAAACTTTTGGTTTTCTTTTTTCCAGGAAAGAAAATCATGTATGTGTCTGTATCTACTACTTTCTCTTCTATTGTATTTCAATTTAACTTTTTTTTACTTGGTATTTTTAAAAATAATTATTTAGCCAGTTGGCTTTGGTTTGCTGTCTCATATTTTAAAATGTCAAACCTTTCTCCTGGGATTTCCCCAGTGGTCCAGTGGTTAAGACTCTGCCTTCCAATGCCGGTTCGATCCCTGGTCAGGGAATTAAGATCTCATCTGGCGCGGGGTGCAGCCAAAAACTAAAAAAAAAAACTTTCTCCTAATGTGGTAGGGTCACCTACATATAATATAGATGGATTCAACAGATGTTTTTTGTCCTTTACACTCTTCTAAAGTGTTGTTTTTTTTGTTTTTTGGGGTTTTTTTGGCGGTACGCGGGCCTCTCACTGTTGTAGCCCCTCCCGTTGCGGAGCACAGGCTCCGGACGCGCAGGCTCAGCGGCCATGGCTCACGGGCCCAGCCGCTCCACGGCACGTGGGATCCTCCCGGACCGGGGCACGAACCCGTGTCCCCTGCATCGGCAGGCGGACCCTCAACCACTGCGCCACCAGGGAAGCCCCTAAAGTGTTTTCTTATCACATTTAATATCTGTATGCCTTTGGATAAAGAAGAAAAGATTTCTGTACCCTTAGAGAAAGATAAGAGGGAGAGAGAGGGGACTATGATGGAGAATTTAAAACCAATCTTTCATCTGGGGCTCCTTCCTTATCTTAGTGATAGTATTTATGGAATGCCTACTGCCTGTTATTTTAATACTGATGCCTTATCACATGCTCAATAGAAACATTACAAAGCAGCTGTTATTCCTTTTTTTTATTATTTTATTTATTTACTTTTGGCTGCTTTGGTTCTTTGTTGCTGTGCGTGGCTTTCTCTAGTCAAGGCAAGTGGGGGCTACTCTTCGTTGCAGTGCGCGGGCTTCTCATTGTGGTGGCTTCTCTTCTTGCGGAGCATGGGCTCTAGGCACACGGGCTTCAGTAGTTGTGGCTCACGGGCTCTAGAGCGCAGGCTCAGTAGTTGTGGCGCAGGGACTTAGTTACTCCGTGGCATGTGGGATCTTCCCAGACCAGGGCTTGAACCCGTGTCCCCTGCATTGGCAGGCAGATTCTTAACCACTCGGCCACCAGAGAAGCCCTTCCTATTTAATATACACAGAAATGGGGCAAAGCAAGGATGTAAACCCAGATTGATCTGTTCTCTCCATAGGTCTGTAGGCTGCTGTTCTCTCTGTGTCTGGGTCTTTCTAGATATTTGCCTGTTAAAGATCACTGGGCAAAATGTTAATGACTGCTGGACCTACAGAAAAGGCTAGCTAGGTTACCTCTGCCACTTTGTATAAATTTTGGATTTTCGTCACTCAAAGGCTTAGATTAACTATTCCTTCTCCTCCTCCTTATCATTATTTTATTATTATTAAAGTCTAAATCCTAGTCTTTTCACACTGATGCACTGATGTTCATATTTAGGAATTTTATACTCCCTAGAGTATAAAGGCTGATAATGTATATGCTTAGAATTTTTTTTTAATCTAAAAAGTAGTTGTTGTTTTTTTTCTGGGTACAAATTAAGTAAAATGAACATTCTTATTTATTTGATTGTCTTACTCGTAGGTGTAAGCCACTTTTCTAACCACATTCTGATGCCTGTCAACATTGATCTTGGTAATAGAATTCCCATTAAATATAACATTAGTTTGATTATACATTTTTAAAAACATTTTTATATTCTCTAATGTTTTTAAAGTAAAATAATGGATAGTTTCAATGTCATCAATTTTGTGGTTGCCTCCTTGCTCTAAAATTCTTTAAAATCATTGCCAGTGACTTTTTTTACCTGTTAATTGTGCTTGAAACAAAATGGCATATTTATTTCTTCTGTTATCATTCTAGTCTTTTGAATTAGTTTCTTATTTTAATAGTTCTGCTTAGGAGATTATGGAAAGAATTAAAAAGTCATTTGGTATTTTGTACTGATAGGTGTAAAATATTGGGTGTTTTTTCTGCTTCTTTAATTTAAAAGAAAACATCCAGGCTTCACCTGTCATCAGACCTCAACTACTTGGAACACCAGTAGAAAAGAGGAGAGAGGTTTTTTTTTTCTTTTTTGGCCGCATCACGGCTTGTGGGATCTTAGTTCCCTGACCAGGGATTGAACCTGTGTCCCCTGCAGTGGAAGCGTGGAGTCCTAACCATTGGACTGCCAGGGAATTCCCAAGAATTTTTATTTTTAAAAGATTTCTAAGCAGGCAAAAATTTTGATGTCAGAAAGTCCACATTCTAAAACATATTCTAAAACTTTGCTTACCAGAGAACCTCTTCAGTTTTCAGAGCCTGTTTACTTACATTTTAGTAACAGGTTTAAGAAAGTTAATTAGAACACTTAGTCATTAATAAAAGATTAAATTATATATAGTAGTATAGTATAAGCTGTTGAAGAAGATAGCTTTCTATAAAAATAGTTCATTTTTTAGTGTTTACTGCCTTATCGAAACATTTACTTGCAGAAAAGACCCTTCGTTCTCCATGGCCTGATACTGAGATGTATAAAACTTAAAATTGGCTTTTGTGTTTCTTCTTCAACAGACAGCTGGAAATGATCCATATTGTTTTGTGGAGTTTTATGAGCATCGTCATGCAGCTGCAGCACTAGCTGCTATGAATGGGCGGAAGATAATGGGTAAGGTAAGCTGTCATAATTAAAGAAGGTGACTTGCACTGGAGAATTCTAAGTTGTATACGGTTTTGTTTCCTTTTTAGAAGCATTATATTCGCTTTACAGAAAATGATCACATTTAATATTAAGAAGCTGGGATAAAGCAAATTAGAGGGTATGTTTATGTTAGTGTTCTTCATGGTGCCTTGCGCATGGTAAATACTAAGATATTTGTTGAATTATTCAAGCTTTGATGAAAGATCTAGGAACATTGGATACTAATGGGGAAGAATAAAAGAAAAAAAATTTATTGGTACTTTAGAAAGGTTAGTTGAATGTTAACAAAGAAGTATGTATGGTTAGGATTTGTTAACATTATTTGCGTAAGTATACGTTAAAAAATAAGTATTGAGGGCTTCCCTGGTGGCACAGCAGTAGAGAGTCCGCCTGCCGATGCAGGGGACACGGGTTCGTGCCCCAGTCTGGGAAGATCCCACATGCTGCGGAGCGGCTGGGCCCGTGAGCCATGGCTGCTGAGCCTGCGCGTCCAGAGCCTGTGCTCCGCAATGGGAAAGGCCACAACAGTGAGAAGCCCGCGTACTGAAAAAAAAGAGTATTGAAATTTTGACCAGAAAGTTTGAATGCTTCATCTCAAACATATACGTATGTGTTCATAGATGCAAATCTTGTAATATCTGATTATTACCTTTATTTTTATGGAGTATAAATGTAGAAAAATTTTTTTAGGAAGTCAAAGTGAATTGGGCAACAACCCCCAGCAGTCAAAAGAAAGATACAAGCAGTAAGTATATTTTATACTCTTTGAACTTTTGTGTTTATTGTACATAGTAGTTTTATTGTAAAGCATATAAACATCATACATTTGCAGTAATGTTTTGATCGTTATCCTAAGATATGATTGAATGTGTTTGTGTTAATAAATTTAAGAACAAATCTAATCTTTGTCATCAGGTAGTACCGTTGTCAGCACACAGCGTTCACAAGGTAATTGTATCTTCTTAAACATAAAATGAAATCTCTTGAAAGGGTATTCACTAACCACCTGAAGTTTTTTTGTTTGATATTGGGGGGAGCGGGGAGGGAGGGGTCGTATTTCTATTTGTCTCTCTGGCAATATTTTTCCCCCTTTTTCCCACTGTTGACCAATTGTGGTTTGTCCACTACTTTGGTGGTATTTTAAGTTCTCTGATCCCCATTGATAGCAGCTGATGCCTTAGAAATACTTTCACCACTGAAGGGCAAGATACCCTTTTTCCTTGAGGTCATGATCTGTGCTTCATACCAGATCTTCTGATTGCTTGAGTTGCTCCTGAAACTGTGTTTCCCAAATGGCAACCCAATATGTTGCTTAAGGCCTGCCAAATAGGGGTAACTTTTCTTTCCAAATATACTTTGTCAGAATTGATATATATGTCCATTTAAAGTGTTGATCCAACTATTTTGTATTTTTAAAGTGTTTCTTTTTTTTTGAGCATTGTCTTTTTAAGAAAATTTCACATATGGGAACGTTTTTTCTCTCCAGTGCTTTTTTAATGGCTCTGATATAAAGTGAAGGGATTACTGTTTTCATTCTGTTGCCTTCAGTCTTAGTTCACTTGCACATGGATTCACATAAACTGAATGGTGTAATGTCTGGGCAACCAAAACTGTTGGCTTTTGAGAAAACTGTCAAATACTTTAACATCAAACTGTTGCAATGCAAGGTATTTCTTTGATTGTTCTTCACAAAATATGGTTAAACCAAGTATATCACATAGGTAAACTGAATAAATGTAAATAAGTACTATTAGAATGGTAATGAAGTCATAAATATATATATATTTTTTTTTTTGCAAAACTTATTATTATTAGTTTATTTTCTTAGACCAGTATAATAATTGGCTATAAGTAGAAATATAACTGTCAGTTTCCCATTAGATATATCATAGTCCCTAGGAGAATCTTTCCTGTATTGTCACCTTGATTCATTATGTTTAAAACTGATAGGATTTGTCTAGGTATAGGATAGTGTTATACTTTACTATAATCCATAAATTATTTTAAGAATACTTTACTGAATAGATTTTAGCATTTTTTTAAATTCTAAAATTATATTTTTCTTTTCACTTCCCCTTCCTTCCCCTTATAAGATCATTTCCATGTCTTTGTTGGTGATCTCAGTCCAGAAATTACAACTGAAGATATAAAAGCTGCTTTTGCACCATTTGGAAGAATATCGTAAGTAACAGAAGATAAATTTAAAATGCTTTATATTAGAAACAATCTTACATAGAAGTAATTTGAAAATCTATTGTGAATTTTGGACATTAATTTTAACACTTGAATGTGATGTATTAATATTCACTTGAATAAGTGTATTGTTTAGAGACTATTCAAGCAGTTAACAGCCAAAGATTATTTTCCCATTGATAAATAAATCTTTGGTCTTCAATTATCTTAGAACTCTTTTTCAATTAGCGTTAGCTTTTAAGAGACAAATGTGCTGTTGTGCATATTGTTTCTTATATGAGTGTCTTGCTAGCTTGGTCATAATCTTTAGTGAACTTGTGCTATGACTAAGGAATTTAGACCCTTTGGCACTTCTATGATACCATGCATTTTCTGTTAATATATTTTAACAAAAAGAAACCTTAACAATTCAACCCAAAACGCAGTTATTAAATGTTAATTCCCAGGTATCTATCCTTTTGTTGTTGCTATTAACAATAATAATAATGCCTTTTAGTGTTTTGTGAAGCACTGTCTTGCTTGCATTTGTTATTAATTGTATAGTTTAGGCCTTTTATAAAAAGGTCACTCAAGGAGTATTCATCATAAAAGAACTTTATATTTTGAAAAGCATGCCTGTAATAGAGTAAGAATAATAAGTTGATGATTGCACTTTCTTAGAAGTAATCGTTGAATTTAGAAAACAAAATTTTTAGAGTTTCTCGTTGCTTTATTATTGTTACTCCAGCTAGAAGAGTAGGAAAAAGGAAATGTTAGCTTTGGTTTGGTTTGATGAACAGACCAACAGCAGAGATGAGAAGGAGACTGGACAGTAAAAGCTGGTGGTATTGGTGTTGAATTTTGGAAGTTTTCGTTTGAAGAGTTTTAGTTCATTGGTAGGAGGACGAAAATGCATAGTGACCAAGGAATGACCATAAGTAAGGGGCCAACTTTAAAGGCAGTCACACGATTAGGGTTTACAAGTAGACTCTTCTGTTAGGTGACATTTTTCTTTGTCTCTTAGAACTGACTTTAGGAAAATAAAGTTCTAATTTCGTGACTGTTCCTTTTAATCTGTTTTAGGGCTTTGATTATGGTTATCTGGCTTTCTAGCTGGCTTTCAAATATCTAGATTGGAAAGGTCTTAACCTTTGGCCTCTCAAAGTTTCTGTAAATCTCTGTATGCAAAATTTTATGCTTGCTTTCATTTTGGTGTGGAGTATCTTTGTAAGTTTTATCCTATTTTCAGATTAGTCACAGGGCCATAAAAGATTAAAGAACTCTGATATAGATCTTTGCTGCTTCTTCCTTAGAGAATCCTTTCAGATATAAGTAAGCATTAAATATATTTCAAGGCTAACATTTCCTGAAACTTACCTTTAAAAAGAAAAGGCTTTTCTAACATTTTAACAGATTAAATGCTATTTTATTAAATGTCTCGATTTTGATTGCAGTAGCTTTTCTGAAAGCATGGGAATTTTAGTTTGGCATTAGATAAAGATTGTTTAACAATTGGTGAGTTTAAGTTAAATGACATTCAAATTTTAGTAATTTCATTACTTTTTAATCAAGGATCAATAATTTCTTTTTGTTAAATATGTTGGTATCATAATTATAGTCTAGATTTTCTTAGAGTCAACTATGATTACTGATGTATATATCATTTTTCCTTGGTAAGGCCTTTAAGTTTTATAATTTTCAGTCGAGATAATGTCTAAGCTTTAGGCTACCCAGAGAGTTAGTGTTTCTAAATTTGAAGGAACCATTTTCAGTTGGTAGCATCATTTCCTGATTTTTTTCAATTAAAGGAGATACGTTGATAAATATATATATTGAAAGGTTCTCATGATAGTCAAGTATTCCCCGTAGAGATCCTACAACAGTGCTTGATTTATAAAAGGTGTGTAGTAAATGTTGGCCTATTAAAATATTTAGTATATAAAATATAGTACTTTCTTTCCCTAATTTACATAGCTTAAACTTTTCCTGTTCCTTGAATTTAGGGTAGTCTAACAAATTTTGCTATAGAAATGAATCAGCTACAAATTAAATGCATGTGTACCATACAGATAATTTTAATAAGTATTTTTACATATTGAGAAGTGGCTTGCATTAGTTTTCCCCTTTCACCATCACCTCTTTGTCATTTTGACCCTAAACACTTAATAAATCACTCCTAAATTGATCAAAATATGCTTATGTATACTTTAATATAAAATTATATTGCATGGCTTTCTGACTTGGGTTTTTGTTGTAAAAGTGCCTGTTTTGTTCATGTGTCCTGAGAGAACAAGCATTGTGACATACCTGGCTAACTTAAAAGCAGATTGCCTGTGAAGCACAATTTGAGTCCAATTTTTTGAGGTATGGAGTTTTAGCTATCATGGCTGGGTTTTTTACTCAATCTCAAATAATAGGGCTCTGGTTATTTTGCAGAGTATCTCTGAAGAATGGACAGAATTGCCCTGGCTAACTACAAGCTACGGTTCACAGTGGATAAATGTTGGCGTGCTTTTTTACTTTCTGACTTTTTAAAATTTTGCTTTTATATCTTATAGTTTCCAATCAATCTTATATGATTGCTATTTTAGAATTTAGTGTAAAATCTTCTCTTATATAAAACTAAATATAGTTTAGTATAAAACTAAAGTGTGTGTCTAGTATTTTTCTTCAATGATTTAACATTTCTGAAAAGTCAAGTTCTCAAAATTTACCCATAGTCCGGAAGGGGGGTATGAACTGATCTGAGAAAATGAAAAAATTTAATTAATTTAGGGAATATACAACTTTTCCATTCTTTTAGTTTCCAGTTTTCTATTTTAATTTTTTAATGATTAGGTAGTAAGTATATAGTGTCAAATAGCAAATTATAAATTGCATGGTTAAAGAAAGCCATTCATTTAGTGTACCTGTGAACCCTATAAGTTAAGTAAAATTCATGTGAATAGCTGCTTTTACCATGCTTAATATTTAAAAATTTAAAAACTTTTTAAAGTGGGAGGCAGTTTCTGTACAATGTATACATATATATTTAAGAAGTTATTGATTTGCATGTTTATAAAATTAAGCTTCATTTGCTAATACATGATAAATTTTATAGAAGAAAAGGTGAATTTGCATTAAAGGTTCATTTTAATGAAGATGAAACATGAAAATGAGTTGTGTATGAAATTCTCACTTGATATCCAGAGGAGAGTTTGCAAACCTAAACTTCCGATTGTTTCTGATTTCAGAGATGCCCGAGTGGTAAAAGACATGGCAACAGGAAAGTCTAAGGGATATGGCTTTGTCTCCTTTTTCAACAAATGGGTGAGCTAAATAAATAAAAAGTGCATGTGTGGTGCTTTAAGAGTAAAGGATAAAAATATTCATTTTGTTTCGATTGTTAATCATTTTCCTCATCTGCCATTTGTTCATTTCACTGATAATTAATACCCTTACTAGAGGATATCTTTTTTCTCCTGTTTGGTCATTTAGTCAGCATTTATTTAGCGCCTGATGCATGCAAACTACTGATAAAATGTTTTCAGAATATAGAAAGTAGAGTTGTTTAAATCATCAGCCAAAGTTAGATATTGACTATCTCATTTATATATTTAATTCATTATGTCCCTGTTTCATATTCCCATGGTAATTCAAACATAGCTAGTGTGATAACTCAAGGTTCCAAACAATTAAATGCAGAGATAATCACATTTCTAAAAATATAGGGATGGATGGTAGGAGAATTTAATGCACTAATCCTGGAGTATACACTAAGGTTTCATTAACCTTAGATTTTATTGTATTGCCTCTATGTTACGACTGTTGTTTGCCAACGATTACTACAAAAATATTGTACTTTCTGTGTAAGAGTGCCTTAGAATGAGCCATTAAAATTTTTGATAATATAAAATTATTTTAGAAAGGATTTTCTTACTTTAGTAAATAGAGTATTTGAAATAGATATCATTTCTTGATGACTTCAGGTCAAATTTATGAGCATCATTCTGAGTCTTTTAAAAATACACCCATAAAAAAAAAAATACACCCGTTCGCAGTTATGCCAAATAGTGTCAAATTGTCTTGTTTTTTTCTAGTTCCTGTCTGCTTACATTGAAACTGTTTGGTTATTCCTCCCTATGAACTCTTACTATCCAGATGCTTGCTATAGCAGCCAGCTTGCAACCATTTTGCCCCAAATCTACTTTTCAAATAAAAAAGTCTGCCCTAAAAATGTTTACATGGCTTATAAGTTAAGGCAAAAGAGGGTAGAATGCACTGTAATGGTATGTCCGCTGTTTGCACAGTAACATCATATCTTACAATCACATTGTTTAAATGTATAGCTATCATCTTCCTCTCATGAAGTGAAAATGTCTTCTAAGGAGTAGGTTAGCCTAAGAGGTCAGGAAAAATCCGTATATTAGAAGAAAAGTTGCACATGGTAAAGCATATTGAGAGGTGAAGGGGTAAGAGCTCCGTCATGTATGTGTCCCATCTACCAAGTATAAGATGAGATAAGGAAATAAAAACTATGAGAATGTAGCTGGTTCTCAAAGCTTTACTGTTAATCACAGCATAATATTTAGGAAAGGTAGAAAAATACCTCATACAATGGATTGATAGCCACAATTAGTATGAGTTCCTTAAAGGATTGATAAATAGGATATTAGTGTCTTGTGCTACTTGGGGAAATAGGTTGAGGGCTTTGGGTTGACTAAGAGCTCATTTTTTCCATTTGAGATTATGGAATATATACCCCTGCTATATGAAAGTCACTATTTAATGCATATTTAGTATGAAAGTCGGATAGCAAACGATGTCTGTGTGTGGCCTCTGGAGTTAGCCAGAGATGGATTGTAATCCTGACAATCATCATATGATAGGTGTAACTTAGAGTAAGTGATTTAATGTGATCTTCCCAAATTTATATTTCACTCTCTGTACATTTGGGATATGTGATTGGCAGGCATTCTCAGTGCCACAGCACCGACTGACATTACCCCTGGCTTCCTTGCCTCTTCCTGTGTTGTGTGTGCTAGGCAAACTCCAGTACTGGTTGAACATAACCTCTCTGCTTACTCTGAAGTAATTGAGTATTGATAGAGAAAAACTGAGTCAATGGTTTTGCTTCTAATTTAATGGTCACACATTAGATAGATGAGTACATGTTACTGTCTTTGCAAACCTGTGTTTCTCTAGTAAATATGATTTCCTGTTCTTTGATAACTACTTCATGCCCCCTCATTTCTCCTCGGATATTCCTCACTTTTCTCCATCACCACCCTGAGCTTCAGCTGAGAAAATAGAAGCTATCATACAGGAATTCCCTGAGCTTTCAACCACCAAACCTACATTAAATGCACTCACCTTCTCCCTCTTCCTCCTATTACAGTGGAGGAAAGGTCCTGTAAAAGACCAAATCACTTATGATTGGGGTCCCACCACTCCGTCCTTTTTAAGGACTTTGATCACGTGGTTATTCTGGGTTTTTTTCCCGACTAAAGGTTTATTGAGATATAATTCACATACCATAAAATCCACTCATTTAAGGTATATACCTCATTGGTTTTTAGAATATTCACAGTTACGCAGCTATCACCACAATTTTAGAATACTTTCATGACCCTGAAAAGAAACTACATACTCATTAGCAGTCACTAGCTTTTTTCTTCTACACCCTCTCCCCTCAGCCTTGAGCAACTATTAAATATACCTTCTGTCTATATAGATTTCCCTGATCCAAACATTTTTTATAAATGGAATTGTATAATATGTGCTCTGCTTGTTCTTTTGTCCTATGTCATCAGTCTTTCCCTCTTCACTGAATCATTCCCATCAACCAAAAAAACATGTTCTGATGTCTCTTAATAAACTTAACCCCATATCCCTTCCTTATCTGTATCCCTATTTCTCTTAATAATTCAGACTCCAACTTCTCAAAAGAGTTGTTTGCACATTCTTCCACTTCTTTGTCTCCCACTCACAATACGCATACCCCCCACAGAAAAAATTTTCCCTCTTCTGTGAGCAAGTAATTGTATTTGTTTTCTAGGGCTGCTGTATCAAAGTAGCTGAATGACTTAAAACAACAAAAATTTATTCTTTCAAAGTTCTGAAGGATAGAAGTCCAAAATCAAGTTGTCATCATGGCCATGTTCCATCAGAAGACTGTGGAAGAATCCTTCTTTCCCTCTTCTTAGTTTCTGGTGGTGACTGGCAGTCTTGGTATCCTTGGCTTATAGCTGCATCACTCCAGTCTCTGCCTTGGTCTCCACATGGCCTTCTTCCCTCTGTGTGTGTCCACATTAGCTTCTCCTCTTCTTACAACGGCCCTTCTTAAAGGGCCCACCCTAATTTGTATTGACCTCATCTTAACTAATACATCTGCAAAGACCCTATTTCCAAATAAGGTCACATTCACAGTTATGGGCAGGGTAGATAGGACTTCATATAAATTTAAGAGACACAGTTCAACCCACAACAGTAATTAAACATCGTATGGAGCTCAGACTTGTTAGTGTGGTAAGCAATATTTGTTTTTTTTTAAGAATATGCATTTCCTTTTTATGTGTCTCAACAGCTTTTAGTTTGCCTGTTCTTTTGTGCTAGTTTAAGCTGACATTTGACATATGCAAACCAAAGCTGAACCCCATCTACTTTTCACTGTACTCTTTTTTTTTAATAAGTTTATTTTTTTGTATATTTATTTGTTTTTGGCTGCGTTGGGTCTTCGTTGCGGTGCACGGGCTTTTCATTGCGGTGGCTTCTCTTGTTGCAGAGCATGGGCTGGAGGTGCGCGGGCTCAGTAGTTGTGGCTTGCAGGCTCTAGGTGTGCAGGCTCTAGAGCGCGCAGCCTCAGTAGTTGTGGCATACAGGCTTAGTTGCTCCGTGGCATGTGGGATCTTCCCGGACCAGGGCTCGAACCCATGTCCCCTGCATTGGCAGGCAGATTCTTAACCACTGCGCTGCCAGGGGAGTCCCTTTCAGTCTGCTCTTAAGCTGGCTTTTGTTCTTACTCTATACCAGCACTACCCTTTTCAAGTTCACCTCTTGACTTCTGCTTGCTTGACCCTGACAGTAGTTTGTTTTTTTGGTTTTTTGGTTTTTTTTTGCGGTACGCGGGCCTCTCACTGTTGTGGCCTCTCCCGTTGCGGAGCACAGGCTCCGGACGCGCAGGCTCAGCGGCCATGGCTCACAGGCCCAGCCGCGCCATGGCATGTGGGATCTTCCCGGACCAGGGCACGAACCCGTGTCCCCTGCATCGGCAGGCGGACTCTCAACCACTGTGCCACCAGGGAAGCCCCTGACAGTAGATTTTTGAGGGTTTCTTCCTTCATCACTGGCTATTCCTTCTTAGTCACCTTAGCTATTGATCTCTCCTTTACCCAGATTTCAGATTTTGCTGTTTTTCAGGACTCTATCCCAGGATGCGTTCTTCTCTCTAGTCTTTCTTCATGACTCTGAATCTTATATCTCCAGCTCCGTTTACTTCACACTTACTAACAAATGGTCTTCATTTAGATGTCTTACAGATATCTCAAACTTAATGTGTCTTAAATCATCTTTGTTTCTTCCTCAAACTTGTTGCCCTCCTCCCTCCCAGTCTTCTCATTTCCATTAATGCTAGCACTATCCTCCCTACTGCCCAGGCAAAACCTAGGAATTACCTTTGATTCCTGCCCTTTGGCTTACTGTGCACATCCCTCCCCACCAATTCTCTTGACTCTTCCTTTAGATTACATCCACTGCTACTGCATTAGTCCTGGTTACCGACTGTTTTTTTAATTTGGATATTGCATTAGTCTCATAAAGAGTCTTTTTCCTTTTACTATCTCCCCAAACTGTTCTCCTTCTTAAAACATAAGAATGGCCTTCTTAAAACATAAATCGATCATGATAATCTTTCTTAAAATAATCAGTTTTTTCCTCTGGCACTTTTCCTTTTTTGCACACTAGATTCCATTAAAACTAGTCATCTTTCACATGCTTCTTTAAGATGCGTACCAAACACTTTCCTGCCTTAACACACCTTGCAGTGCTTTTCCCTCTATCAGGAACACCCTGGTGTTTGGACTTTTCTAGCTCCTCTTCCTCTCTATTTCAGCTTAAATGTCATTTCAGAGACCTTCCCTAATCATGCTGCTCTAAAGTAGATTCCCATGCCTGTATCTCAGCATGGGATATTCTCTCTCTCAACCTTTTGTTTCTGTCATGGCATTTACCACAATCTGTAATTACTTTATTTGTCCCCAGCAAAAGAATGTAAGTTCTGTGGCAGCAGAGACCATGTCTACCTCATTGACCAACGTTTCCCTAGCACTTAACCTGCTGTCTAGGACATGACAGCTGTTCAGTATTTACTTGTAAGATGAATGAGAAACCAAACACTGTCATTGAAAGCATGTTGGATTGTATAAAGTGCAATTTTCATCCATAATAGTATGGGTTGTTCCATGCACTTTACAATGGCTACCTCAATAAGGGCTTTTGGGCTCGAGTCTTTCAGGTGATTAACATTCCCAAAGTCTGATACCCAAGTAAAAGAAAGATAGTTTAAAAGCACCATTGTGTTTTAGGAAAGCTGTCATATATTGTGTATTTCACAAAGCATTTCATTCAAAAAACATTTGTGAAAAGCAACCATGAGTTTTCTCTATTGCTAACAATTGTTTAACGTCAACTAATAGTGGCTTCTTTGTCATTTCTAATGTTGTGTGGAACAGGATGCTGAAAACGCCATTCAACAGATGGGTGGCCAGTGGCTTGGTGGAAGACAAATCAGAACTAACTGGGCAACCCGAAAGCCTCCAGCTCCAAAGAGTACATATGAGTGTAGGTGAATTGGAGAAGAAAAGGAAATGTGGAATTTTGGAGGAAAATACACTAGATTTTAAATGTTAGAGCTGTTCCCGGAGACTTATTGCAGAAATAGATGAGAAGCAAATCAAGACTACTGTTCAAAAATGTACTTAGTTTTCATTTTTGTAATTATAAATAATAAATTATATCTCTAATGTCAAGTCTCCTGTTAAATAGAGAATATTGAGTAATTTTTAGACATTCTTGGGGGAGGTTTAATCCTCAGTCAAATGTAATATGTATTAAATAAGCATTTTGATCAAGGTAAATATTACCATTACAGTAGTGTAGTTAATGTTGCTTTACTCTTTCTGAACATTTTATTTAATGAATTAAAAATGTTAAATTTTTCCTCTCCAGCAAACACCAAACAGCTATCATACGATGAGGTCGTAAATCAGTCTAGTCCAAGCAACTGTACTGTGTATTGTGGAGGTGTCACTTCTGGGCTAACAGGTATGGGGGCTTTACCTATGTGGCATCTTGAGATTAATTTTTAAACTAAAAGGCTTGGTATTTGTAGGATTTTAATGCGGGTTTTTTTTTTTTTTTTTGTCTAACAGAACAACTAATGCGTCAGACTTTTTCGCCATTTGGACAAATAATGGAAATTCGAGTCTTTCCAGATAAAGGATATTCTTTTGTTCGGTAGGGGTGGCTTTTAAAAAAATGTTTCCCCCCAGATAATTTTTGAACATTTAACTTAGTGGTTTTCTTTAAAATTTACTTTGGTTATAAAGAAATAAAAATTTCTCTAGTGTTTATCATATTTGCCACTTTTTTAATAGCTCCCTCCTTCCAACACAAGGCAAATAAAACATTCTGTTAAAAGAAATTTCCCCAGAACTATAAGATCTTTGAGGGGGAAAAAAAAATGAAAATATGCCATTTTATTGATTCTTTTATATTAACTTCCTGTTATATTTCAGGCTTCGTTTGATTTTTAAAAATAGGTTTTATTCATAAGCACTTTAAACTATTTATTTTTAACATCTTTATTGGAGTATAATTGCTTTACAATGTTGTGTTAGTTTCTGCTGTATAACAAAGTGAATCAGCTATATGTATACTAAACAATTTATATTGGTAATTCTTAATATTATTTTCAATAGGTTCAATTCCCATGAAAGTGCAGCACATGCAATTGTTTCTGTTAATGGAACTACCATTGAAGGCCATGTTGTGAAATGCTACTGGGGCAAAGAAACTCTTGATATGATAAATCCCGTGCAACAGGTGAGAAGGTTCTTGACTTTGCAGAGTAATTGCTGGGCTAATAGGTATTTTTAAATGAAATCGTTGATAATCGTCATTAATGCTTCTAGCTAAAATGATAGCATATAAGGGCTCTTCATGTATTATAGTTCCAGAGTAGTGGTTCATGGATGCAGGGGTGACATGATGAATGTGACCACCTCGATTGACTCATGCTCACACAGTGGATTTTAAAATGCTGCAACAAACTTAACAGGGTATTAAATTTTTTCTAATACTTAGTAGATTTATTCACATACTATTTGGAGGACTCACAAGCATGTTTTTTTAAAATTATTATTTATTTATTTATTTATCTATCTATCCATCCATCCATCCATCCATCCATTTTTGTTTGCATTGGGTCCTTGTTGCTGCGCGTGGGCTTTCTCTAGTTGCGGCGAGCGGGGGCTACTCTTCGTTGCATGCACGGGCTTCTCACTGCAGTGGCTTCTCTTGTTGCAGAGCATGGGCTCTAGGCGCGGGGGCTTCAGTAGTTGTGGCACATGGGCTTAGTTGATCCGCGGCATGTGGGATCTTCCCGGACCAGAGCTTGAACCCGTGTCCCCGGCATTGGCAGGCAGATTCTTAACCGCTGCGCAACCAGGGAAGTCCTCACAAGCATGTTTGATTCAGTTGAAACAAAAGCTATGAATATATTTAGGACCTTGGCATTTTCTTCCAGATTTTGCTGCCTTTGTTTTTCCAGGCAGTTCTAGTGGTTCAAACTTGATCCCACAAACATTTCTATGAGGAAATGGAGCATCAAGATAGGAGTAAGAAAATCCTAAACTATATAACTTTCTTAAGTAAACTGAATATAGGAATAAATAGTCCTTATCTTCCCTGTCTTCCCTAGCTAAAGGAAACGGTCATATGGATAATTTACAAAACACCCAAACATTATCCTGAGTTTAATAACCCTAACCCTAACCTGCAGCCTTACAAAGAGTATGCCATTTAGAGCATCATTGTAGAGTTAAAGCAGTATAACCTCACTTTTTTTTTATTAGCCGTGACTTTATAAACTTTTCTTTGTCCTTTAGTGTTTTCTTTTTAATATATATATAAATTTATTTATTTTATTTATTTATTTTTGGTTGTGTTGGGTCTTTGTTGCTGTGCACGGGGTTTCTCTAGTTGCCACAAGTGGGGGCTACTCTGTTGAGGTGCGCGGGCTTCTCATTGCGGTGGCTTCTCTTGTTGCAGAGCACGGGCTCTAGGCACGCAGGCTTCAGTAGTTGCAGCACACGGGCTCAGTAGTTGTGGCTCACAGGCTCTAGAGCACAGGCTCAGTAGTTGTAGCGCCCGGGGCTTAGTTGCTCTGCATCATGTGGGATCTTCCCAGACCAGGGATCGAGCCTGTGTCCCCTGCATTGGCAGGCGGATTCTCAGCCACTGCGCCACCAGGGAAGCCCTGTCCTTTAGTTTTAATTGTAATTATGGCCCTATGTGTTATGGCTATGTATTTGTGGTGTATTAGGACTGTATATGCCCCTATAACTTTAAATAATATTAAATTATCTGTTACAATTTTACTTAATAGCAGAATCAAATTGGATATCCACAAGCTTATGGCCAGTGGGGCCAGTGGTATGGGAATGCACAACAAATTGGCCAATATATGCCTAATGGTTGGCAAGTACCTGCATATGGAATGTATGGCCAGCCATGGAACCAGCAGGGATTTAAGTAAGCATACTTGTTCTTTTCCTTTATTATTAGCCTTTGAAAATGTCAAGAACTTGGGAAGAGATTTTAAGTAATTAGTAGATAATGTGCCTTCTTTCTAAAGCATCGCCTTTGAAAGACTTAGAGAGGTTTTTACTTTATAGTTTTAAGTGTATATCTAAAATTTTGCCTAGAAATGTGTTGTCTTGATTTATAACCAGCGTTATGAGAATTTTGGTAATGCTTGGCAATGAATCAACAGATATTTAAGTAAGGAAATAACTTAATAGTTGCTAGGCTTATTGGATACAGTTATTTTGATCCTAATTGCTTTATTCATTATGCTTTTTTTTTGTGCAAGAGGGTTTATTCATACATTGTTATATGAAAGCTTCTTTATACATCCTGAATTACAATTTTACTTAAATTTCTGAAAAACAAACTGGAAATTAAAACGCTTTGCCATTTTTATTAAAAAGAATCTTGTAATGTTGAGAAAATTTATGAGTTTACATATACTAATAATTACCTTAATTTCTTCTTTGAGTAATATAAATACAAGTCCGTATCATGCCAAATGATCACGTTTCCTTCAGGTAGTGGCTTGTTCAACATATGTCAAACTCCAGATGGACAGTTTTCTGAGATTAGAGATGAGTTTTTCTGAGTTCAAGGGAATAAATGTTTATAGATAAAGGATATTTTCTTAGCTATAATTAAACTAACAGAATTAAACTGTACAAATTAAAGCTACAAGGATGCTTGTTTTTAAAAGAAAAAAGCTTTTGCCTTTGCTTTCTCTGGCATAACAGTTATTCTTATATTTGGGCTTAAGAAAAAGGATATTTCCCACGTATGTGTTATTTATTCTTGGCATTATTTATTCTTGGCATTACATTTTATTTTAACCAGTGGATTTCCCCTCCCCTCTGCTTCTTTCACGTTCTGCACCAGTCAGACACAGTCTTCTGCACCGTGGATGGGACCAAATTATGGAGTGCAGCCGCCTCCAGGACAGAATGGCAGCATGATGCCTAATCAGCCTGCAGGGTATCGAGTCGCAGGGTATGAAACCCAGTGAAAAAGGACTCCAGAATCTAAAGCCAGTGGCTTAAGGCTACAGGGAGTGTAGTAAAGCCGTTGTTTACTTAAAGATTTATCAAATCAGTCAGTGCAAATGTCAGATACAATGTATTTATTTAAAAGATTCATTTTTTAATCATGAAATTACTTACCATCCGCATTGTTTTAAAAAGAAACAATATGCTGGATGTCTGCCAATTTTTGCCTTCATTACCTTTTTTGATAAAGTTTCTCAAATCCTTGTTTCAAATACAAATGCAGGGATTGCTGCCACTTTTTTAAAATTGAGGCAGAAAATTGCACAATGTTCAACTTTTTTCCACTGAAGTAGTGTGCAGTTCTAGTTTGCATTCCTGATATGATTTAAAACATGTAATATAAAGATGTAAAAAAAAAGAAAAAAGGAAAACCAAAACTGTGCAGAGTCTAGAAGTTCTTTGTAATCTTCAGCTTATGCACAATTCTATTTTAGGTTTTTTTGAAATAGGCATTGTTTGAGCTGTCCCATCTCCACTGTTTTCCCTTTGGGGTTTTTTAATATAAGTTATTAGTTTACATCATTTTTGTATCTACATTTTTTTCACAAATTTGTCTTGCCTTATTAAAGTTCTATGAAATATACTTAAATGGAAAAAAATGATCTTTAGATTGAAAACTTTTCTCAGATGGATTGATAATTGCATTCATCTTGTGTTTTATATGAGAAGGTGCCTCAAGAATTCCCTGTTGAATTTGTTTAAAAGGGTTTTTATCTTCTGTGATAAACTTTGCTGTGTACCAGGAAATATAAAAACAAAAACTTGTTACTAAAGAAAATCTCTGAAATGTGATAAGTTCTTATGGACCCATGTTAATTTCATGTGTCAACTTCTACATTTACATGTATCATTTCATTATGTAAAATGTTTTAGCAATTTAATATTTTGCACAGTTAGCAAACTTTGTATGTCATTTCCTCCTTAAAGGCATCATGCAGAGTTGACAGGAGATTTATAAGGTTTTGTTTGCATGTGAATATCAAATACACACTTTGGTAGTCTTTGAATACAAAGTCATCTGCTCTTGTTTTTCAAGAACTTTGAGACACAAAGTTGTATGTAAAGAAATATATTAATTTGCCATATCCTAGTTATATTTACTCAAAAAGAGTAAATCAACTTGATTTTAATATGTACAAATGATAGCTGTGAAACTGTAGAATATCCTTATGTCAGGCTTGGGGTTTCGTGTGAACTCCAAAATCAGCCTGAATGACCAGCCGGGCAAAGCATTTTTTAAATGTTCAGAGGCCAAAAGATAAACAAACAAAAAACCGTGAAATCCTACCTCCTTAACCAGCCTTCAAAGAGGAGAATCCTCAGTGCAATCATTACTTTGATTCTTTTGGTACCTGTTTTCCTGGAGTTCCCAATTTTATTATTTTGGGGTGGCTCCGAGCATTAAGAGGTTTAATCTTTGATGGCATTGTTCTAGTTTTGAAATTTCTAGTATATTTCAGTCTCTTGGAAGAATTGTGGGAGATTTTGTTTTGTTTTGTTTTGTTTTCAGCGAAAGTCACAAACTCTCCTCTTCTATGACTCACAAAGGGGAAGGGTCCCCAGTATACATATTTGGATGCTTGGTTGTTTTTAAGACCAGAGAGCTCCTGGTGTTTTATTTAGGAACAGAAAAGGCCCATGGAATCCTAAGAGTTTCCTGGCCTGTATCCTCCAGGTAGGAGCAGATGACTCTAAGCTGGTCTCTAAGCCAATACTCCTGTAAACCAGAGCCCAGGAAAGACAGCTCATAAATGTATAATTCTCTGGAGCTCAATTCTATGCAGTTGTACTGATGTTTCATCAAGTCACTGTGTATTTTCTAAGTGTTGATACATTAAAAGTTGCTTTATGGAAGATGAGTAAATTTTTTAAACACTTGGAAATTTTATTTCCTTGTTAATTAACCTTCTACAGATCAGGGCATGCAACCAAGAGCAGCTTAAATACTCAAAAAAAAGTAACAGGATGCTGTTTTTAGATTCTTCTGGTTTGTGTTCCTATTTTAGGACCCTCACTTTTCTCTTATTCAAAAGTATTTTATGTCCTATACATCTGTGGATTGCAGGGTAAATTATTTGGGCATAAATAATCCAAGCAAAAGTATAGTTCTTCTTTCATCTTGACTATCTCAAGAAATAACACTTTTTATTAGCCAATATTTTCTTATTGCACAATTCTAAAATGTACATTGACTACTTTTTGAGAAGAAAGTAGCATTACTCAAAGGCTTATTACTACTGAACAAATTTGCAATTCAGGAACATTGCTAACTTTGCTTTCAATCTTACTCTCAGTGTTAAATCATTTTAAAAATTTACAGTCTAAAAATCATACTGGTATTAGTATCAGGTAAGGAAATTAAAGTTTTTTAAATGGATTCATTCTCTGCAATATGCATTCAGATTTTACTTTAAAATACATCTGGTACTGTAAAGAACCTAAAGTGGTTCACACTTAATGGGTCATTAATCCAGTATTCTTTGCCCTGACTGTTTGGATATTAAAGTTCCTTTATGTTTTCTATAACCTTTGGGATCTTCTTGCAGTGATTATTGTGTGTGAGAGATTTTTTTTTCTTTTTGGTCTAGTCATATTGTTATATTCACTCTGGTATTTGTTAGATTTCTTTTTAATCTTATTTCAGAAACCATGGTTTGCATCGGGTTAGTTTGATACCACAAAGAATTGCTGTAGATTTAACTCACTATGAAATCAGGATCTCATTTTCCTTGTTAATATTCTCTCCCTGTTGAAAATGAGATTCACATTCTAGTTTTATTCTTCTCCTGTTTTGTTCCTGTGCTTACTCAGCTTCCTTTTGTATGTGTTAGAGTTCTATTACTTTTGAGAAGGCAGTTGATAAGGACTAGTTTGCATACACAAAGAGAGTTAAGTTTACCAAGAGCTACAGGGTGCTCTTGAGGTTACAGTTGAATTGGAAAAATAAAATGTGTTTGTAGGAAATAAAGAACAAACCCTTTCAATGAAAGAGTGATGATTTCTAAAAACAAAATCTTTTTGTAGGGGGTTGTTACGTTTTTTCCAGTCACTGCATTTGACTATTTAGAACTTGAAGGGCATACCTCCAAAACAACAAATTTTAATTTAAGAGCCTTGATAAAATGTATTTGAATGGTTCTGAGTTGAATAGGACTTTACACTGTGGTCTCTAAAGTTGAAGGCTAAGTTATTCTGATAGTAATTCACCTAAAAAAGGGAAAAGTAGATTTCTTACTCAGGGTTAATAAGCTTGGGTGAGACGCTGTGCAGAAAATAGTTATTAAGCAGTTTTATATACTAGATAAATGAGATCCCTAGCTCCTTATTTGTGTTCAGCTCTAGAAAACCAACAGCCACACTTAAACACACCAGGCAAGATTTGGTGGCTCCTACTGTGGAAAAACTAAGCAACTCTTGAGTGAAAAGACAGATGCTGACATTTGAGGGTCCCCGCCAAAAAGCAACTGGCCAAGAGTCCCCTTACAGTGGAGCGTACCAATCAGTAAGCCCTGCCCACGTACACAAACCTTCCAAACAGGTTTTTAGTGCTTCACTTCTAAATAAAGACAGCCAAAGATCACCAGAAATTGAGAAAAACCTTGATTGTAAAAGGTAGAGCTAAATAAAAGCAACTCTCAAGAATCAGAAAACTTCAACAACTATCATATCCTCAAATAAGATACTGTACTCAAGAAATTAGAACAGGATACTAATAAAATGTCACAACAAGAAATTAGAATATGAATAAATTCAGTGAGAATATTAAAAGAGATGTTCTATAACAAATCAAAAGTGTAGGGAAAAAAATAAATATGGATCAATTCAGGAGGTTTAATATTAAATCAATAGGAGTTCCAGGAAGAAAATAGAGGATTGAGTAGAATTTATTAAATAAAGGAAAATTTCCCTGATGAAATTTTGAGTTTCAAGATTAAAAAAAAGCTAATGTTGAATTTGCACAATAAATATAAAAGACCCATACGAAGCCATACCACTATGAAATTTTAGGATGCCAGACCTATAAAGAGAATATTCAGAAATTTACCAGGTAGAAAAAGGATCAAGGAAAATACTCAACGGCAACATTGGAACCTAGTGATCAATGGGGTGCTGTCTTCAAAAGTTTGAATGAATTATGTCTTGGGTGACAATAGAATAAAGACATTTTTAGACATGCAAGTTCTCAAAAGATTTTCTTCCTGTTCACTGATTCTCAGTTACTGGATAAACTCCATCAAAATAAGAGTAAATCAAAGAAAAAATATGATGTAGCGTCTAGAAACAGGATCAAACACGAGTGAGATAACGGGAAGTCCCAGGATTGCAGCTGTGAAGCGACCTGGCAGCCAATCCAGACTGATGGTCAGAGGGCTAGACTTAAGGTTATCTGAGACACCAGCCTTTGTATTGTGAGATGTTTTATGGAACTATGGAGCATGTGAAAAGACTAAATACTGGAAGAAAAGCAAATGGAAAGAGACAGTTGTCAGGGAGAGCATTCTATAAGAAAGGAAACATTCCCTGAGACGTACATGCATCAAGATAATATTTCATGTTTTCCTGAATTATATTCACAAATATTTGTATCAATACTATTCCACTGCTTTGGTTTTCTTTGGCAATTCCAATTGTGTGTTGGATTTCCTCTGCCTGACATGGTTTCTATCATTTGTTCTTAATTATTTTTACCTTTCTGTTGGCGTTTTTCATTTCTAATCTCCGTTCCTTAATATGCTTCCTGTGGTATCCAGACTCACTTGTGTTCCTTTTAATGTAATCTTCATTTCTGAAAAAATTTTTTTTTTTCTGTTTTCTAAATTCCACCAATTTTTGTTTGACTTCAGGGATGTCTCTTCCCTGAATTCTTGTTTTTCTTAGCTGCATTTACTTCATTAGGTTTTTAAAATTCATATTGGAATGTCTATATTATTTTCAACTGCTTTGTGGGAACATTTTTCCTGTGAGTCTTCTCCAGGGAAACTCTAGGTAAGTTTTGCCATCTTATTTTTAATTACAGTATCTTGATACAAATGCTGTGCTTATTCCTATTTGTTCATATTTGAAACAGTTGGTTTTTCCTAGACCAAGTACCAGCAGGAGGATGAAGGGGAAAGACCTTGTCGAGGTTTCTCACCTCCCTCTGTGGCTACAATGAATTGTCTCCTTAAAAGTGTAGCCATGGGTCTTCTCTGGGATGTGATCTTGTTCAGAAGTTCTCTGCCAGCTCTGAGCTCCCTTAGTTCCTTCATCTGCTACATTAAGGGACCTAACTCATGTCTTCAATGAGATCCCCTAACTTGCTTTCTGAAAGACATCACCTCTGGAGCCCTTAAGCACTTCACACACCTTCCCTCCCTGCCTCTCCCACACTCATATGCTTGTTCAGTCCTCCCCACAGCAGGCTGCACTCAGGGTTTGGCTCTCTTCTCAGAGTGAATATTTGCGAGTGATTTCTGAGGTCTGCCACTACCAGCCCCCTCCTCACTCCCTGTCCTTCCCCCATGGCACTCAGTTGGCCTCCCATCCAGTACCACACTTCCACTCAATGTGGAATGTATAAGTTTTCTTTGCATCCCTAGTTTCACTTAAGATAACTGTTTGTGGGAGTCAGTTGGTCATGTTTTCCTTGTTGCTCCCTGTGGTTTCCGGAAGTGGAAAGATCCAGAACCAGGCTGCTAACATTTCTACCAGAATCAGAAGACCAAAGGAATCTTTTAACAGATGTAAATCTGATCATGACACTCCCCTGCTTGAAAGTCTTTGTTTCAAATTGTATTTAGCAGTAATCTAACATCTTTAAGGTGGCCCGCAGAGCCTTCTACAAATGCAATCTGTGCTTACCCAACTTCACAGCAAGCCATTCTCCAGTCTCCCATAAGCCCTTCCACTCCACACTCATCTTTCAGTTTCCTGAATAAGTAAACACTTTATATCAGTTAAGGTCCAGTCAAGGAGACAGAAGCCAACACTAAAATTTGAAAAGGGAAATTTTAATGTGAATAGTTGTTAAATAATAAAAAGTGGTTAACTACTAAAAGGGATCCAGAAATTGCAGGTGCAAAAAAAAGCAGCTACTATTTATGGACAGAGGGGACAATGCAGAAACTAAGGGTTTAGGAGAGCACTGAGTTTCTCACCTCTTCAAAGTGGGCTTGATTATCATAGGAACGTGCCACCTGCTGAACAAACATGCCAGAGGGCGTGGGCCAGAGCTGGTCCTTAGAAGCTGCCTGCCGTCACCAGAGGTGGGTGGGCTGGAGATAATCTTTAGAAATGGTCCACCATGTGGGGGAGCTATAGGGTTGCCAGAATTAGCAAGTGAAAGCACAATCGCAAATATTGCAAGAAACATACTAAAAGTCATTTGCTGTTTAACTGAAATCCAAGTTTAACTGGGTGTCCTGTATTTTATCTGTCAGTCCTCGAGAGTGGTGCAGCCAAAGCTGCCATGGAAGCAGCTGCAGGTAAGTAAAGTGTGGCCTGAGGGTGCAGCCGGGGCAGGTCCAGAGAACCACTGACGCGAGTGCCACTGGGTCTTCTGTACACTGATCCATTGGCTTGCACACTGAATAAAAAGAGAGAACCAGAACCCATAAGAAATGTGCCTTCCTGTCACCATCACCTTGCCATGTTCCCCCAGTGCCCTCTATTGACAAAGCCTAACATTGAGCCAACTGGCAAAGAAGAAATGTTTCACAAAGCAAGGCCAAGAAGAGTGGACTGGGGACCGAGACTCCCATTGCAGAGCCCTGCCATGTGAATGCCTTTTGTCTGCTCTTTGTCTTCAACTCTCCACTTAAATGTCCCTTCCTTAAAATGCCTTCCTTTCTTTACCCACAATCTAAATCAGTAGCCTCTCAAGCCATCTTATGTTTACTTTTCCTTTATAGCATTTGTCATCATTTTAAATTATGTATTTGTGCGATTATATCGTTAAAACCTGTGTTGCCCACTAAAAGCTGGTGACTTTTCTTCAGTGCTGTATATACCCAGTAGGTAGTAAATCAAGCAATTAATTTATCTCAATCTTGTTTTAACCAAATGGATTTCTACCATGTGCTGATAGTACTACCAGCTAGAGTACTGGGTATGAGGTGATAAGAGCTAAAACTAAAGGACCAAACCAGGGCCAATTCTTTATGCCATGCCAAGTAATTTGAACTTTTTTTTATCTTAAAGGTCCTAGGGAGCCATTGATCTAATTTGTTTTTAGTCAAGATGTCTTCCAGGTTCCTGGCATGAGCAATTAGATGGATGGTTGGGACTAGTTACTGGGGTAGGAAAAGGAAGAAGCGCATTTTGCGGGGGTGAGTAAGGATAGATGCTAGTTACAGGGCAGAAGATGAAAGCTAATGAGGTCTGCCTTTCAAAATGTGGTGCTTGGACATGTGTGACATTCAGGTAGAAATAGCCAGTAGGTAATGATATGGAATTTGGAAGGGAGGTCCAGGCTGAAATAGAGATGGGAGTCATCAGCATTTAGGTGGTAGTTCAACCCATGGAGTGGCAATCACCCAGAGAGACACTAGAGTGAGAAGAGGACTGAGGACAGAACTCTTAGGTCTATCAGTATTGAAGGGGACAGAGACAGAGAAGCTTGCAAAGGAGAATGACGAAGAGCTGCCAGACAGGTGGGAGAAATACTGCGGGTCCATGATGTTGCAGAAATCAAGGAGGAAAACATTCAAGGAGTAGTGAAGAGTCAAATTTGGCAGAGGGGAAAAATACAAATTGTGAAAAAAAGTCCACTGGATTTAGCAATGAGGAAGTAATTGGTGACTTTAAAAATGAGCATTTTGGGCTTCCCTGGTGGCGCAGTGGTTGAGAGTCCGCCTGCCAATGCAGGGGACACGGGTTCGTGTCCCGGTTTGGGAAGATCCCACATGCCGCGGAGCGGCTGGGCCCGTGAGCCATGGCCGCTGAGCCTGCGCGTCCGGAGCCTGTGCTCCGCAGCGGGAGAGGCCACAACAGTGAGAGGCCTGCGTACCGCAAAAAAAAAAAAAAAAAATCATTTTCAGTGAAGTAGTAGGAGCAAAATGTGGACTGTAAAGGAGTGGGAGGTGGGGATAGTTAACTAGTGCAGCCTCTGCCTTCCCGATTAAGTGGGCTATAGACGGAAGGAGAGAGGAAAGAGGAGATGGGTTTAAAAAAGCAATAATTTTTAAAAATCTCAATACAATAAACTATGAATAAATCACAAAGATAAGTAAATGACCACCAAAAAAACAACCCCACTCTTCATTCGGAAATACACAACAAAAAACATTCACCTCCGTTTTACATAGAAAATCGGAACAACAGTTAAAGAATGCGTTTGTGTGCATGTGTGTACTGTTTCTCTAGGATACTCAATTGAATGATGGATTAAAGAATGTAAATTGCAAAAACTATGATATATATTGTCAAATTATATTGGTACTTTATAACGTACAGCTCTTTATAATGGTACAGTTATAACGGTACAGCTCTTAAAAGCTGTACCATTTTACACTCCAACCAATAATGTCCGAAAGCACTCGTTTGCCCCCCTACTTTTACCAGTGCTGGTTGTTATTAAGCCTTTATTTTTGCCAATCTGATGCATGTAAAATGATCTCTTTTATTTCCCTGATTGTAAGTAAAGTTAGTGATTTGTTCCCATGATAGTTGGCTGTTTGTGTTTCTTTTCTGTGACCTGTCTGTATCCTTTGTCCATTTGACCTCCAAGGACTTTAAGACATTATAATAATCACATGTTGAATATGTGATAACTATATATCATATGTCTTTAGAAGTAAAAGATGCAGTAAAAATATGAGCAAGAAGTAACTATTGAATGATTAGGCAGAATTTTTAAAGAAACTAATAGATCCTGTAGAAATTAAAAACACAAAAGCTAAAATTAAAAATTCAATGGACTGGCAAAACCAAATTAGATACAGCTGAAGACATCTGTGAATTGGAACAGTACAACAGTGCAGAGACAAAGAGGTAGAAAATATGAAGAGAGCATGGAGAATAGAATGGGAAATCTAAAATATATTTAAACTGGAGTTCCATAAAGAGAGAAAACAATTTGGGATGGGAAGTATTCGAAGAGATAGGGCTGAGAATTTTCCCGAATTATTGAAGGGTAGGAATTCTCAGACAAGATCCACAATGAATCCCAAGGAAGATAAATAAAATGAAGTCCATGCTTACATATATAGTCAAATTGCAGATTATCAAAGACAGATTTTAAAAGCAGCAGAGAGGGGGAGAAAAAAGACTACTACAATGATATGACAATTAGATTGACATCAAATGTTTCAACAGCAAGACGATGGGCCAGAATTCAGAGGGGTATCTTCAATGTGCTGAAAGAAACAACCAACTTAAAGCAATCATACAAGAATGAGGATGAAATAGAAAAAGAAAAGCCAAGAGAATTTCCCAACAATAAATCCAATACTAAATGAACTTCTAAAGCGTATATTTCAGGGAGAAAAAAATCCCCAAACAAACGTCTGAGCTGCAAAAAGAAATGGTAAGCAAAGAAATTTATACATATGTAGTTTAATCTAAAGCAACAATAATAGTGCCTTCTTCTAAGGGAGAACTAAAATAAAATACTGTATAATAATAATATATATGACAGGAGGTGGTTAAAGTGTTCTAAGATCACTGTATTTTTTTTCAGGAGAATAGCAGAAAAATGTATTAGCTTTGGCCTTGAGTTAAAATGTAAAGGATCGTCACTAAGATAATAAAAATAGAGCATATAACTTCCCAAAAGAAGAGGTAACAAAAAAATCCAAAAGAAGGCAGAAGAAGAAAAGAAACAGAGAAAGCCAGACAAACCAATCTTAGATGGTAGAAATAATTCCAAATGGATTAACAAGCATAATACATGTACTAAGCTAATAAAAGAGATTGTCTAATTGGATTTTTAAAATCTAGATGCACTGCTTAGAAGCAACATCTAAAACAAAAGTATGCAGAAAGATATATACCAGGAAACCCTAAATGAAGCTGATGTAGCCAAATTAATAGCAAAGAAAATATATACACATCTGTTCTCAAGCACACATGGAATACTTAAGAAAATATTGGTTTTTAAAGGTCACAGGAGTTAGAAGGGTAAGGGAAGTTGAAGAATAATTATTGCCAATTGGCAAAAATCAAAGAACTGTGAATAATTGTTCTAATGTGCCAATACCACACAAATTCTTTTTATTGGAAATGCCTTTAAATATCAGAAGCTATTATTCATCTATTAACAAATAAATAAATAAAGCAGAGTTTCTATGAGATCAAAAAAAGTAGCCTATCATGTTTTCTGACCATAAAGAAGTTAGGTTAGAAATCAGTTACGAAAACGCATGTATAAATAACTTATGAGTCAAAGAAGACGCCATAGTGAAAATTTTAAATTATTTAAAATTTAAAGAAAATAAAAATATTGTCTATCAAAATTTGTGGAATGCAAATAAAATGGCCCTTTGAAAGTAACGTATACCCTTAAATGCTTATATTAGAAAAGAAAGGTTAGAAATTAATGGGCAGGGACTTCCCTGGTGGTCCAGTGGTTAAGAATCCGCCTTCCAATGCAGGGGATGTGGGTTTGATCCCTGGTTGGGGAACTAAGATCCCACATGCCACGGGGCAACTGAGCCCACGCACCACAAACTACAGAGCCCGCACACTCTGGAGCCTGTGTGCCACTAGAAAGCCTGCGTGCTGCAACTGAGACCCGACGCGGACAAAAATAAACTTTAAAAAAATAGTCTATATATATTAAAAACAAAAAAAACAATGAGAGAATTAAGTAAAGTGACTGGGTAAAAAATATTAACATACTGAAAATTAACATACCATAATGAACCATAACTTGAGAATATTGTGCAATTCTGAGAATCCTATTTATGAGAAGAGGGCTCAGAAAGGACTTCGATGATGGCAATGTTTCTTCAAAGACCCTTCTTTGAAGGAGGAATGGAAGAACCCTGAGTGTCTGGCTTGGAAGAAAGAAACCTCTTTTAGAATGGGGTTGCTTGATAGCTTCCTTTCTGGCTGGAACAGATAATGTGTCTCAGCAGAAAACCCACAGATCTCTTAGGACACATTTGGGCAATTCCACTGAAAAAAATTTAAACACTCTTTACAACAGGGTCTCTCAATTGTGGCACTACTGACATTTTGGTCCAGATAATTCTTTGTTGTAAGGGCTGTCCTGTGCATTGCAGGATCTTCCATGGCATCTACTAGATGTGTAGCAGTGCCACCAGTTGAGAACAACTGCTTTAGATAATCACTTGGTACTTATACAATCATAAACACAACCAGGCATTGAAACCCCACAGTATTACTAGGTGATTATCTAGATGATACAGGATATACTGATGATCATTTAAAACCTTATAATTGAAATGGAAAGACAAAATTGGAAAAATTTTCTGGAAAAAAATGTGCCCGTCTCCCCCTACCTCCAGTTTAAGAAACAACATAGCAAACCTTAATCATGAAAGGGACCACTTCTCTTATTAACAGTTGAGAAGACTACGGTTCTACCAGCTAAAGAATGTCACTCACCTTCTGGCTCAACAAGGATTAAGTCATTAGCCACTGCAGTCACTGACCTTCAACACACCCTGAAAGGAGTTCAGGGTGGAGATCAGAAATGGGGCACTCCATGCTCTGGGAAAACTGGCAGAATAGGACTTCATATAGATATTTTCGGGAGATTTTATGAACCCAGTTTCTTGCATCTTCCCATACTTAGAAAAACACTGAAATCATTATCTGTGCCTTGTGACCAGCAGCAATCTTCTACCAAGCTGTGTGCTTGATTACACATACCCCTTCTCCAAAATCACAGATGTACTAACCTCTCCCCATACCTCTTCAGATCACTTCTTCAAAGCTATCTGAGAGGTTGTCTCCCTGACTATAGTCCTAAGTAAGTCCCTGAATAAAACTGAAACTCACAGCTCTCACATTTTTTTTTATTTTAAATATTTTTATTATTTCCGTTGACAGTTCTCAGGCAACCAGCCCACAGTGCCACCACTAGTAAGTATCAGGATGAAAGCTAAAGGTGCAGGAAATCTCATTCCAGAGTTTTCCAACACACACACACAGCCCTCACCCTTAACATATTTGTACTCAGGAGCACAAATTTATTTATTTGATTAGACTTATTTATTAGACTTATTCTGTGCGATTCCAAGGACCAAAACTAGGTCATACCAGAACCCAATTCCAACGCCTAATACGGGAAAACGTTCAAGTAATATGTCAGAGTATAATTAAGGGAGAAAAAGATAACTTGATGCAAACACACAAGTGATAGAAGCAGCAAATACTTCGGTGGACAAGATCCCCTTGACAAAACACTAAATCGCAGCCGGCATCTGCTAATAATGTAGAAAATCTAAGTTGATTTTTGCATCAATGACCAATGGAATTCTACTCAGAAATAGGACTCACTCAGGCCTGAAACAGTCATGACCAGCCCTAGAGTTGTCTGTGCCTTCCAGTACCAGCAGGGTTGGCCAGAAGCCCTCTTTCTACAGCAAAGAACCTAAGTAGTACTACCGCCAGGTAGGCGCAGATTCCACCACGGGATTCCCCAATTGTCAGCCGCCTCCAGGAGGAGGAAACTACAACTCCCGTCAGACAACGCTAGCTGAGGTGGGCGGGCTCTCGCCGCGCGTGGGCGGCTCTGACCAATAACGACTGTCGTTACAGCGAACAGTTTGGCCGCGTTTGTAAAAGGCCGTGGCAGGCGAAGAGAGAGGAGGTGAGGGCGGTCATCAGCTGGGGGCCTGGGACGGCGGGGTAGGGGGCGCAGGGCAGGTAAGGGGGCTGTGTTGACAGAAGGCGGGGGCGGCAATGGGACAAGGGCGTAGAGCTGGGAATCCCGGCGGATAGCGTTTCCCAAGAGCAGGGTGCCAGGCAGGTGATGCTTCTGCTTGGGCCTACTTAGGACCGGAAGTGAGTGGTCGCGCGGGGAGGATGCCGGGAAGCAGGTCCCCGGGTGGGTGCGTCCGGGGGCTGGCCGCATCCCGGAAGCCAGGTGGGAGGTGCGGGTCCCGCAGGCCGGATGACAGGGGTCTTGTCTGCGTGGCCCCGGAGGCCTTTCTCCACTCTTCCGAGGCAGTGCGGGGCAATGGAAGCACCCTGGACCTGGAGTTGAGAGTCCTGGCTTCTAGTCCTGCCCCTTCCTCTCACTTGTGGTTTGACGGAATCCAGCAGATTCCAAACTCACGTTAGATTATCTAGAGGCCGGCTGAGGGACATTAATCAAATCACTACTTTCTCTGAGCCAGTTTCTTCATCTCTAAGATAAAATAATACCTACTTCACAGGATCGTGGTGAGCATACATGAGTAAATGCATGGGAAAAGCTTACTTGTACTCAGTAAACGTTAGCAAGTTTATGTTTTATTTATGGTGATCGTTCTCTTCACTTACTGTGCTTCACAAGCCTTAAACAGCATTCACCAAACTGTATATAGCTCTACAGCCGAATAGTACGGGGCTGAAAACCCAGCACTACAGGGAGTGTTCGTGGGGTAGCTCTTCCAGCACCAGTCCGTTTACACCATCTGAGGAGGCTGTTGAGTAAACTTGCCAGGGAGAGGAGACGCTTTCCTAGGCAGGATTCAGAAATACAGGTTCTTTATGAAACTGCACTCCTTCTTGGGTGGGACCCAACCAAAACTCAGACCAGGACTCCAACCCCCCTGCACCTCACATTGGGAATTGAACCCACAATCCCTGACTTAGGAGGGGACTCGAACCCACTGTCTTTTAGTTGAAACTGCTCACCTGGTGTCAGGACTTACTGAAGCTCAGAGAATTCAGCGTGAGGCAAAGTGGCAGGTGAAGAGTGAGTTTATTAGCATAGGAGGCTTGTGAGAGATACGAGCTGGACAGCAGGGGAGCACAGCCCTGAGAACAAAGAGGGCTATATTTTTATAATCAAAGAAAAAGTGGGGAGAGGAGAACACCACCTTCTTCCTCAGTCTTGGGCAAACGTCAAGGCTTACATCATCGGTTCCTCCTTTGACCCTATCTGGTCTAACCCGGACTGCCTTGGCGCTATTTAAATCATATGTATATTAGCAAAAGGGTGGTAAATTATACTAAGATATGGTAATCCATCTCAAGTTTTTGTATAATGTCCCCTCTCACCTAGTTTCTTTCCCCTTTCATCTATATTCCTGTCTTGGCTACATGCAGAAATGCTACTCTTCAAGGATCATTAACTCCCTGACTTCATGTAACAAGATTCAGACCCCATATCTATTGTCTTGTGTTGTAACTACCAGGATTTGTGGCTTGAGTGTGTCTGGTGTTTGGATGCACCTGGTCTTCCTTCAAGATAGTGTGGACTGTTGCTAGGTTACTGGATTCTTTTCTTGAGTGGTCATTAGCTTACATCAGTCTCCCAAACTCCCTTAAAATTCCCTTTCTCTCTTTAATCCCCTAGTGGGATTTCTAAACTAACTAATCCTACTCTATCCCTGTCATTTACAAATTGTGTTACTTGTTTATGTATGCTTTCAATATAGAATCTGTAATAAGTGATACTAGTACAAGTTTAAAATTCAAATCGTATGGAACAGTGAAATGTATATCTCCTTCCCACTTTCTGTTTCTCAAGTCCCCAGTCCCTTCTTCTGAGGCAACATATTCTGTATGTGTGTATCTCCCCTGTCTTTTTTCTTTTTTAAACCAAGAGTATCACATTGTACACGAAGTATTATACCTTTTTTTACTCCACAGTATATCTTGATATTTGTTCCTTATCAATACATATAAATCTGATTCGTTTTAGGGGCTCTATAGTAGCATATTGTATGGTTACACCATGATTTATTTAGTTAGCTCTTAGGCTGCTTCTGTTCTTGTGCAGTTATGGACAGCCTTGCATGGAGTACCCCTGTACATATTTTGTGTTCATGTGAGACTAGAACTCATGAAATCTTAAAAGTGGAATTGCTAAGTCAAAGTGTGTTTTAAGTTTATTTACATCCTTTTAAAGACGATATTGCAGTTTACACGCCCACAATAGTGTACAGTGCCTATTTCTCCACATCCTCATGTGATAACATTTATCTTTTGTGTCACTTTGCTGAAGTCTTGTTTTCATTTGCCTCTTGCTTATTGTAAGGTTGAATTTGGGACGTTTAAAATCATTTTTCGGGAATTCCCTGGGAGTCCAGTGGTTAGGACTCCGTTCTTCCATTGCTGGGGGCCTGGGTTTGATCCCTGGTTGGGGAAATATCTCACAAGCCACATCGCCAAAAAAATCATTTTTTTTCTTTTTCATAAGCTGTCTTTTTATGCACTTTGCTCATTTTTTCTAGTGGGTTTGCTTTTTTCTTATTGTAAAAATTCTTATTTTAGGAAATTAACCCCTTGTTATTTGTGTTCCAAATATTTTCCCTTTATTTTTAATGACAGATTTATTGAAACATAAATCACATAACATAAAATTCACCCTTTTAAAATGTTACAATTCAGCGATTTTTAGTATATTCACAGAGTAGTGCAACCTTTCATTACCCCAGAAAGAAACATCACACTCAATGGCAGTCACTCCCAGTCCCGCCTTTCAACCCTAGCAACCACTCCTCTTTCTGTCTCTGTGCATTTGCTTATCCTAGATGTTTCATTTAAATGGAAGGTAAGGCTTTTTATGTCTGGCTTCTTTCACTTAGCCTAATATATCAAGGCTCATTCATCCATGCTGTAGCATGTATCAGAACTTCATTCCCTTTTACGGCCAAATAATATTTCATTGTATGGATATATCGTATTTTGTTTACCCATTCATCAGTTGTTGGACATTTGGGTTGATTCTACTTTCTGACTTTTATGAATACTACTACAGTGAACACCAGTACAAATTTTTGTATGTTTTCAATTCCATTGGGCATATATAGATATAAATATAGATATAGATAGATATAGATAAAGATTCTCTTGGGAGTCATATGGTAACTCTGACATTTTGAAGAACGATCAGTTTTCCAAAGTGGCTGCACCATTTTGTAATACCATCAACAATGTATGAAGGTTCCAGTTTTTCTATACCCTTGTTATTGTCTATCTTTTCTTAGTCATCTTAGTGGCTGTGAAGTGGCATCTCACTGACATTTTGATTTGCATTTCCTTAGTGACGTGATATTGAATATCTTTTCGTGTGTTTATTGGCTATCTGTATATCTTCTTTGGAGACGTATCCATTCAGATCATTGGCCCATTTTTATTTTTTTGAATTTTATTTTATTTTTTTATACAGCAGGTTCTTGTTAGTTATCCATTTTATACATATTACTGTATACATGTAAATCCCAGTCGCCCAATTCATCACACCACCACCACCACCCCCGCCACTTTCCCCCCTTGGTGTCCATACGTTTGTTCTCTGCATCTGTGTCTCTATTTCTGTCCTGCAAACCGGTTCATCTGTACCATTTTTGTAGGTTCCACATATATGCATTAATATACGATATTTGCTTTTCTCTTTCTGACTTACTTCACTCTGTATGACAGTCTCTAGATCCATCCGCGTCTCTACAAATGACCCAATTTCATTCCTTTCTATGGGTGAGTAATATTCCATTGTATATATGTACCACAACTTCTTTATCCATTCATCTGTCGTTGGGCATTTAGGTTGCTTCCATGACCTGGCTATTGTAAATAGTGCTGCAATGAACACTGGAGTGCATGTGTCTTTTTGAATTATGGTTTTCTCTGGGTATATGCCCAGTAGTGAGACTGCTGGGTCATATGGTAATTCTATTTTTAGTTTTTTAAGGAACCTCCATACTGTTCTCCATAGTGGCTGTATCAATTTACATTCCCACCAACAGTGCAAGAGGGTTCCCTTTTCTCCACACCCTCTCCAACATTTGTTGTTTGTAGATTTTCTGATGATGGCCATTCTAACTGGTGTGAGGTGATACCTCATTGCAGTTTTGATTTACATTTCTCTAATAATTAGTGATGTTGAGCAGCTTTTCATGTGCTTCTTGGCCATCTGTATGTCTTCTTTGGAGAAATGTCTATTTAGGTCTTCTGCCCATTTTTTGATTGGGTTGTTTGTTTTTTTAATATTGAGCTGCATGAGCTGTTTATATATTTTGGAGATTAATCCTTTGTTGATTCACTTGCAAATATTTTCTCCCATTCTGAGGGTTGTCTTTTCATCTTGTTTGTAGTCTCCTTTGCTTTGCAAAAGCTTTTAATTTTCATTAGGCCCCATTTGTTTATTTTTGTTTTTATTTCCATTACTCTAGGAGGTGGATGAAAAAAGATCTTGCTGTGATTTATGTCAAAGAGTGTTCTTCCTATGTTTTCCTCTTTTTTTTTTTTTTATAGTGTCCAGTTTTACATTTAGGTCTCTAATCTATTTTGAGTTTACTTTTGTGTATGGTGTTAGGGAGTGTTCTAATTTCATTCTTTAACATGTAGCTGTCCAGTTTTCCCAGCACCACTTATTGAAGAGGCTGTCTTTTCTCCATTGTATATCCTTGCCTCTTTTGTTATAGATTAGTTGACCGTAGGTGCGTGGTTTTATCTCTGGGCTTTTTATCCTGTTCCATTGATCGATATTTCTTTTTTTTGTGCCAGTACCATGTTGTCTTGTTTTAAAAAATTTATTCATTTGTTTATTTATTTTTGACTGTGTTGGATCTTCATTGCTGCGCACCAGCTTTCTCTAGTAGTGGCGAGCGGGGGCTACTCTTTCTCATTGTGGTGGCTTCTCGTTGTGGAGCACGG